ATGGAAGACTAGTAATCGAGTTACTGTTCACACGAGGTCTATGGAGCTTGAATCCATGAAGTAATCTATTAGGGATTTTTACCGTTCAATGAAGAATATTTGTGAGTATTTTTCTAGAATTTTATTATACTTCGAATTGGGTGGTATTGCTTCTCATTGTTTTTTTCGGAAACCAGGAAAAAGTAACATCAGATTTGGATTTTTGTTGGTTCTCTCTTACCTGGTGGAATCTAGATTTGAGCTTTTAGAGTTCAGGTCGTTTTTATATGAAAAAGAAGATCAAAGGGTCGTTTGGGCAAGGAAATCTGATCTGGTTGGTATATTCGGGCATCTTCCAATCCTTATTCCTAACGCTATTAAAGCTTTATTTGGATTTTTCTCTTTTGTTGGCTCTCTGGAAGGATTTATATTTTCCCTCCTCGTCTCATGGGTTATGCTCCCTAGCATTTGAACTAGTTCATATCTTCAAGCAAATTCTGGTTTCTATGTTGCATATCAACTGTTTGATTTATTGTCTAAAAGGTTGGTTGTTGGTCATTTAGCTAAGTCTGGTGTTTTCTTTGGGAGCTCTAATTTTTCGAAGTAGTATTATACAAGGTTCTAAATATCGATATGCCTTTTTTTTTTCAAATCCGGTTCAGGGGGCTGGTTTAAGGTTCGTCCACCCCCTAAACCGGTCAAAACCCCGATACACCCTCTATAGGGGCATATCGGGGTGCTCCTGATACAATATGTATTGGCCGATATGGGCCGATACGTGCCGATTTTTTGAACGTTGGTATTATAGAAGCTCTACAACTTCACTGGTCTATTTATGATTATCAGTACCAGCATGTGATATTGGAGCTCAAGGTGACTATTTGGTGTTCGAGAAAATGCCTCGATGGTGCAAATTTCTACAATGGTTCCCCATTGTTATGATAAGATCTTGTTTGTGTCTTGGTTTGATATTTGGACTATTTTGGTGAATGATGGATCTATTATCATTGGTCAATATCTAGTTTGTTTACCCTATACATGTTTTTCATGGAAGATGTTTTACGAAATGTTTCAACAATGATCCTTTATTATGCTCATCAGTTCTGAGTTATGGTTGAAGAAATCCTTGGAGTTTTGATCTTCTCCGGTGACATGGAACTTTGATTCACGTTATCTAGTTGGCTTTTCGATTGGCCAACTCCGATTCCTTAATTTGGTTATGGAGTTCATAGTTGGCTTTCCTTTGATCAACTATGAATCTTTGTTCTGGTTTATTGGGTTCAGCATAGTTGGCTTTCCACTAGCCAACTATGTTTTTGTAGTTCTGTTGACATTTCTAATAATCTAGTTGTTTGACATGGTTGGTTCTTCAGTTCAGAGATTGTTATTAGCCTTCTGATGGTTAAATTTGACTTTTTGGCATGATATGTGTTGGCTTTCTGTTGGCCAACTTCAGTTTGGTGATTACTTGATCATGACTTGGCTCTACTTTGGCTTTCTGACACGAGTTCATTCAGCTTTCTAACATCCAATTTTGGTTTCTAAGAGGCCCCTTCAACATCTCAAGTTTCATAGTTATTGCTTCAACAATACACCTATTTTCATGGTGGTTGCTTCAACATCCTTCTTGCAAATTCAAGCTGGTTTCCCCACCTTGAGTTTAAGGGAGGGTGTCGAAAGATATATTGTATTTGGGTTTTTGGAGGTTATAGGTGTATATTTGTAATGCTGATAAATTTTGAGGACTTGTGTATATTTTTATGGGAGGAAGAGGGGTTTGTGTGAAATTCTGGTATAATTTGGCCTTTTGCTTATTTAAGCCATTGGTTGTGTGGGATTAGGGTGGAGTGAGAGTGGATATTTTTCTGTGAGTTTGTAGAGAGGTCAGCCATGTATCTTTTGCTCTCATAGTGAATATTTTTCCCTCTCTTCCTTTGGATGTAGGCTACCGAGCTGAACCACGTTAAATCTTGATGTTTTCTCTATTTTCTCTTCTTATTTTCTTCTTAATTTGATATTCCATTTTATGTTAGCTGACATTAATAACACTATATTTAAGGCCAAAATAGCCATAAATAATGTATAAATACGTAGGAAATGTATAATTTAATGGTATATGTGAAGAAAATTACAATTAATATAGTGGGGTGCATAGAAATCATACAAATTTATTGATGGTGTATCATTCAAGAGTCCAAGATCATATTAGATATAACTTCACAAATTAATATATGCACAAAGCTATTACTATTTATTTTCTATTGAAGTTCAAGGCACAAAATATATGCAACTATTATATATGAATTATTTTCTATTTTATTATTTCAATTTTAACATTAACAAAAAAATCAACTAAAAACTAATTCTCAAATGTTTGGTAAACAATATTTTTATTTTTTAAACAATAAACATGTTATTATAAAATGTGATTAAAATAGCAATTAACAATTTATAAAAATATATAATCTTAAAAAATTGGGTTCAAATCACGCTAGTTGCATTTTTTAAATAGAGAAGAAGGTGGAAATGTGATTATGCGATGCATTACACATCTGTATTGGTCGGTAATGTCCTGTATTGGTGCATATTGGCAACACGATCTGGGTGTGTATCGCCCCGATTCAGGGGATGCGGGTCCAGTTGTAGTGTTTGCCGTATCCCCCTGGTTGATACCAATATGATATGCCCCATATTGGACATATCGTGTCTATATTTAAATCCTTGCTCCAACCAATCATAAATATTTCTGGAGGACAGGTGAATTATCCATTTGTTCTAAAATCTAAAAGGCTGCAGGCTTCTTACACATAGATCTTTATGAATTGAAGCTTTGGAATAAAGCAATGATCTGGAATTAGGACGAGTCAGGACTCACACCCTAAACCATTCTAGTGATCCTCTTAATCTATGGTAAATAAATTTATCCAGTTTAGAGCAATTGAGATTAGATTGGAAATTGGACCAAGTGAAACTTACATACCTGCAAGGAATTTCATGCAAAAGATGGGTGGTATTAACAAAAGAATTGAAACTCCTCATGCTAGTTGATATGACTTAATTGGGGCTGGTAGTTTCATAAGAAAACCTAATGACAATAAATTCCCCACCAATTAACCAAGGGCCCTCCCGCAACCCAAGAAGGATCCAAGGTCCAACTTGTATTCTTGGCCTTCCAAATACTTCTCACCCATCTGGTGCTTAAATCGGGAAGTTTGGAGTCTTAATAATGCTCAAATACTTCCACATTGTAATTATGCTCTCTGAAGCTCCCCAAGAAGGATCCAAGGTCCAACTTGTATTCTTGGCCTTCCAAATACTTCTCACCCATCTGATGCTCAAATCGGGACGTTTGGAGTCCTAATAATGACAAAATGAATTTTTAACGGCCCTTCTCTCCCTGGAGCTACCTAGCCCTCCCACATTCTAACTAATGATTTTCATCAGTCCTTCTTGTTGGTCCCTGAGCTACTTTTCCGCTTCACTTACCCACTCTTCTCAACAGAATGCACAAGCCTAGGTGAAAGAGGATGACTGTAAGGTAAATTTGAGTGAAAAAGGAAAAGATTTAGTCTCAAAAGAATTATCAAACTTATTTTGGTACCACCGATTTAAAAAATATTTCATCGGTTGATCTATCTACAGTCAATGGAACATTCTTCCCTGTGTCTAAATCTCCCCTAGCCTCTGTGCAAGCATCTAATGAGAGAAGATTCTTTCTCTATGTACACCCTAAGTCTGAATGAGTCTCTGGGTCACAGTTTTTCCTTGTTGACAGGTCAGATACCCTGCTTGCTGCTTCTTTGTAGCACTATCCCAATCTTCTTTTGCCTGTTTACCATTTCATATTATTCACCAAACTGAATAACCTTTCTAATAAAATAACTTTCAAGCAATCTGCAGTAGTTTTGCCTCAAATTTGGCCCACAAGTGCTGGTAAAAAGAGGTCCACAACTAGGGTAGTGGCCTTGATTGAGTATTCTCTTTTGCTTTTGGTTGAGGTGTGTAATTGATCTATGAATCTTTTCTGCATATATATGATATTTCCTTCCTTTAGTTAAAAAAATGTTGTTCAGAATAGCATTGATAATCTGTAGTTTGTCTTCATGAATGTTGCAACATTTCTATGATAGTCATAACATATAGTTTCCACTTCATATGCTGTATCCATCAAAACCAAACTTAGTACCAACATTCTAAAATTTGCGTAGCACAAAAATCCTGAGTGAAATTCTATTCAAAATACCAGTCTTGAAAAATATTGTTACTTTCATAAACTTCGATGGAGAGCTGATATTCACTATCCCTAGATATTTACACTCAGGGGTGAGCATTTGGTTTGTTTGGTTAAAAACTGAACCGTATAAACCAAAATTTTAAAACTGAAATAAAAAAATTTGAAAACCGAAACCGAATTACAAGAAAACCAAAATTTTCAGTTCGGTTTTTGGTTAAAACCAAATTTCATTAACATAAATAAATATTATATATTATATATTATAACATATAATATATAAATATATTTATAATATAATATATTATGAAACTGAATTTCATTATAATATATTATATATTACATGGTGTTATATAATGAAATTCAATTAATTTGGTTTTTTCAGTTAACTGAATTCTAATTTTGAAAACCGAAATTTTCGGTTTGGCTTTTCAGTTTTAACCAAATAATGCTTACCCCTATTAACACTAACCAACTTGTGGCTTGTACAATTGGCATAAGGCAGGTATTGATGGTGATATGGGAGTGCATGTATGGGTTTTGAATTTCAAATTAGTTGGGTTTAGTATTTTTCCCTTCAATATTCTGGATAGAAGAAATATATTTTCTTTTTGCTTATTGGATTTCTGTGGATGAAAAAATGATCTTCTTGGCTTCATCAACTAATTGATGGACCTACATCTATATCTGTCATCAATCTTTGTCAGCAATCATGTTTAATGGTTGTCATAATTTTTTTATGGATCCTGCTTTCTGTTTATACTACTAAAATTTCTTTTCATTGAACCAGGTAGCTGGACATTTTACATATGGTGTCATGGCACTCTCAGCTGCTACTTTTATGTTCTGGAAGTTTTTTGGTACACAAATTCTACCTGCTGCTTTTCATCAAGGAGATTCACTCTCTCTGGCATTGCAGCTTTCCTGCAGTGTTTTGGTATGGTACTGAGAATTTTCATCTTGTATTGGATGTATCTCATATATGTGTGCGCATTCAGTTTCTGGAGACTATTTCTATGTGTTCATACTGGTGTAATATTATGGCCTCTCCTTATTGATCTTATAACAGTAGTTCCTGGTAATAATAAAATCTTATCAGCTTATCTCATTAACTGCGACGCCATCTATCAACCTCTTTGACACTGTAATATTATGTGCTCATGCTGGTGTAAAATTTGAAACTTCGTCTCTTATGCCAACAAGAGAAACCATACTCTGCTTTAAGTGGTGGTTGATGATAGGAAAAGCCTAATCCCATAAAACAAGCTACCTTCTTGGACACTTTCCAAGCCCTTTCCCCTATCTCCATATGGAACCCTACCTTCTTCCCTCCTTCCAGTATCAAATTCCATTGGTAATCCAAGTGTAGCTGGAATTGGAGTAATCGAGGGGGGGGATGGCAAAATCATTTAGGCTTTCAGTGGACCTATAAAGGCAGAAATTTGGCTATTCTCACCAGCATACATATTGCTAGAGACTTGGGTATGTCGTGTCTGTTGTAATTCAGTGTTATGGTGCCTTGGGGGAAATTTGGTATTTTGGTTTTATTTAATCTGAGCTGTACACAAACTAATATAAATAAAAACATGGGCATCACCAGCCCAAGTATTTGAAGTCTCCAAACCTTTTTTTTCTCCTATTTCTCTTCTCCTTCCTCTTTTCTCTTTTCTTCTTGTTCCTCACTGAATCACATGGTACCAGAGCACATTATTGGGCATCCATGGCAACCAGATCGAGTTTTTTTCATTGCCACTTGCCTTTCTTGGACTAAGACGCGAAGAACACCAAATCCAATTGATCTGATCAGTTTCTCTTCTTTTTTTTTCTCCTCTTGGTCATAGTACCAAGAAGAGTGTTTATTGGTGGTAGCAGAATGCTGTGAAAGAGTAAGAGTTGTTAAGAGGTGTGGACCTTCTGTTCATAGTAACGGTGGATCATGGGATCCTCTTTCAGTGAGGTATGTACTGTTCCATCAATGCAGTGGATGTACTATGAGCATATGATGATAACAGTTGGTGTTTGGGACTGTGTAATCAGCTTTGTGTGAACTTTCCATGGCTCTCATGAGTCAGTTAGGGTTCTCAAAGAACCATTCAACCTAAAAGTTTAAGCTGTTAGATGAGGTCCTTGAATAAGTTGATATTCTCTAACACGCCCCCTCACACGAAAGCCCATTGGGCTTGAAGTGTGAACAAGCACAGGCCCACCCATACCTTGTGCTGAAACTTAATTAATTATAATGGGAGTAATGAGAATCGAACACTAGACCACTTGGTCAAAAGTGGCTCTGATACCATCTCAAAGAACCATTCAACCTAAAAGCTTAAGCTGTTAGATGAGGTCCTTGAATAAGTTGATATTCTCTAACAAGGGTTTTATACTCTGTTCTTTGGGTCTGTGTGCTGAGTTTTAGGAGGCTTACCCCTGGTTTTTTTTTTTTTTGACTTGGTAGTGTGATCCATTGTCTAAGGAAACCAAATTATATATTACAACAAGGGGGAAAGTTGGTTATATCAATGGGAAGTTGAAAGAACCTAAGACTGGGACTGCTGAACATGACAAGTGGGACAGGAAAATAGCATGGTTACATCCTGGATTCTTGGTCTATGCATCCACAGGTGAAAAAAACTTCATGGTTGTCTGATGCTTTGACAAAGCAAGGGGTGGGAAGGGATCAACTCTTCTGGGTTGTTTTGTAATTTCTGTATTCTTCTGTCATCCTAGAGAGAACTAAAAGAGTTTATCTCTCTCTGAGATGTTCATTTCTATCTTTTTCATTAATTAATGAAATTTACTGGTTATTGATTAAAAAAACTTTATGTGGGCAGATTCAGCCTGTTGGATTTGAGAGCAAATTAAATCGACCTATTCTGAACAAAGACATTATGCCAAGACTTATTAGCTGCAAGTTGAGTCTTCCACTTGTAAGCAGGGAGACCATAGTTTGTCCACTTATTATGTTGCTCTTAGTTATGTTTGGAGAGAATGAGACTACCAAAGTATTGAGTAGAAGAATGATGATGAATCCAAATCTTAAAAGAAGCTTGTATCTCAGCAACGAGTTTTTCCTTTCTATTGGGGCTGAATCCTGTGTATGAACCTCTTTGGGTTCAGATTTTGGGACGTATTGAGCTTCCCTCAGTTCCAAAAGTGTATGCTCTAGTCTGATTAGAGGAAAATAGATGGAGTGTAATGAATTCTTCTTCAACAATCCAGTTTACGTGGTTAAACACAGCTTTTATCTAAAAGAGTGGATTCCTTTGCCTTATTGCTCTAGACTAGACAGGCAGAGCTGAAGAATAACTTGCATGAACCTTCTCATCTTGAATCTTCAATTTGTGTAGTGTAATCAGCATCAACAGTCATGCATTATCATACATATTTGTATTGATCTCTCTTCCAAGTCAAACTGTATTCCTAATATCCTTGGATGATATTTCATAATAGTGTCCATTCCTAAGAGTTAATTTCATCCTTTCATGGATTCAGTTTGATCTTATGGAGACCTTGTATCCAGCTAGTCCTGTCCATGCTAACCTCTATTTCTCAAGTGCAGGTTATTGCTTGCCCATGTGCCCTTGGCCTAGCAACACCTACTGCTGTCTTGGTAACTTATCCACAAACTGAACTCTACTTTTTTGTATAATGGTGGTTATCTTGCTTCATACATGCCTTGCTAGCACTAGAATGATCTAACTTTACATTATTTTTCTTTAGGTTGGAACTTCACTTGGGGCAACAAGAGGATTGCTTTTACGTGGTGGTAGTATCTTGGAGAAGTTTGCATTAGTGAACACAATTGTGTTTGACAAAACAGGGACCTTGACAGCTGGAAGACCTATTGTGACTAAAATTGCTATTCCTGAATGTGAAGGAGACAAAAATGCAAAGTTGAGTCCAGACAGAAATAGTTACATTCTGGTGCTATTCTTGGAATGGGTCTTCCCTATGCATATGCTTTTCCCATTTTCTTGCGGTGTAGTATTTGTTCATTCCCAACTCATGTTAGAAAATCTGAGCTATCTTTCTTGCTTTCCTTTTTTTATATTTAATTTAACACTCCCCATACGTATGCCAACCTGATGATGATGATGATCTGAAGGATGGTGTTATTTCTTGTCYAATTATCTAACTGTTTCTCCAACAAATGTATTGTTGTGTGTTCTAGATATTTTGACAAGGGAAAGCAGTTTTGGATACATTTGGTAGGGGTTTCTTCTATTATACCTGGATACCTCTTCAAGGGTCCTATATTGTGTTGGATACTTCGATTCTCGTTGTAAATTCTGTATCTGGAATATTGCTAGCAGGACATCCAGAGGGAATGGGATATACATTTTGTAGAAAGAAAATTCTAGGGAGAAACATCCAAAGGTAATGGATGCTATAACCAAAAGTGAAAGAGTTAGAATTACTAAATTTCCACCTTGAAGGGCAGAAGTGTAGGATGTAGTATGGAAGATATTATTAATAGGGAGTTGCTTAGGGGAGACAGTAAGGTGTTACATTTGTACCACTCTCTGGTTATCCCCTAACTAGCTTTATTTGTAGTTAGGAAGCGGAAGCTCACTCGCTTTAGTAGTTAAGGCGAACGAACACAGAAAGCATAACATAAGTTAGCGTGGTTTTTTCTTTAAGAAGGAGAGAAGAGAGAGGCAGAAAGTAGCATTGACTAGGGATGTTACAGTTGTCGGTATAGATGTAAACACAAGAGAAATGAAAATGGTGAACACAGTCTACAGCCCTCTCTGTTTAATCAATTCACCCTAAGGTGATTGTGACCTAAGTAAATAAATGAATTACTTAGAAATTTTGTTAACAAATCTATTGCCAATTTTTGGGTTTTCTATCCATTTGATACTCTTGCATTTTGCTAGAAGGGCTACTTGTTTTGCAAGACAATAGGAAGTTTTCTTAAAATTCTGTTGCAGCAATTCTGTGGTAATAGCCCAGAGAAGGTGAATTTTCACCAATGGTGTCTGCTGTCTGCCCATTAGATTAGCTATGGAGTTCTTTTTGAAGCATAATCCCAAACTTCCCCTATGGAGATACAGAAGCATATTGATGATGTGAGGAAGCTTGGACAAGGTCTAGATGATGTGAAATTCTTTCTTTGACTTAGAGGACTGAATTGCATGGTGCATGAACTAGCAGCTGTGGGGCTAAACCTTAGAGACAGATTGTGTTGGAAGCATAACCCCCAGATTGTATTGCAAGGCTTTTAAAGAAACAATAATAAAGCTGAATCTTCCTTTGAGCCAAAAAGAATTCCATTGACTCAGATATGGAATTCACTTTGAAATAAGGTATTGGCTACATCTGTTTGGGCTCCCATTCCATATCTGGATGCACCCTGCTCTTTCAAAGATAACACTGCATATAGGGATTCAGTGGAGATCGACAAAGAGATAATTGCCCTTTTGAATTTGATGGCTGCTAGATTTAGAATTATAAGAGATCTAGGGCCTGTTGTACAAGCTATTAGCATTATAGCTTCTTGAGGTTAGAATGATTTTTTTACATGTGGACTATCAAGCTAAAGGCAGGAAGCATCAATGGAAACTCTCATCTTTAACCACCATATGAACCTAAGTTCATTTACTGGACGGAGCTTGTAAAGTAAGCAGGTGCCAGTTGTAAACTTTTAAGTCTGAAGAATCATGGAGGGATGCAAGACATAAGAAATGAGTTTGGGTAAATAATCAAAGAAGGATGAGGTTGGGTGAGATAGCTTAAAATTTAAAAGTTGAATCAACAATGTGATGTGTCATCTTATGCTGACCATGGGACCCACAAGGTACGAGGTCTTACTGTGAGGGACAGCTTAGGTACTACAGCTTTTTCTTTGAATAAGAAGGATGAAGTGGTGGCTTTGGCTCTGAGTGAGGAATTGGTCTTGTGGTTTAATTCTGTATATTGCATTTGACACTTTGCAGCATTCACCGAAAGTGTGGAGGTGGAAGGGGGAAATCCAACATGGAACTGGGAGTATCAGATATTTCTTCCATTGAGACCTTCTGTTGTATTGTTATGGGAAGATTTGGAGACTCATGTATAGGTGGCAATAATGAAGCTTTCTTTCCAAGAGGTATGCATCATGAGATGGGTGGACACTGTCAAGAGATCTTCATGAACAAATTTTTATAAGCATACATGGAATTTTCCTCTTAACCATCCTCCCCAATCTCTGAGGAGGAATTGCATATTATTTCAGTTAGTGAGGAATCACCAGTGCTAAAACCAGTCTAGCTGGTGAAGTGCTTCTTGATTTTCCCATGCGGTCTTGGATTGACAACAAATAAGAGGCTAGACGTTGCACCAATATTGCCATCTTCAATTGGATGTATTGAAAGTATGTTAGCAATAGAGAGATGAAGAGATGGAGGCTGAGATGATCATTCAATTCTTTTTAAGATTAGCTAAGACTGGGATCAGAAAAGATCTAGTTGGGTGCTTATCTTCAGCTATCTTGGTTTTTGATGATCTAGGGGGTGTGGCTGGGATCACAGTTGTTCTGGCAGCTCATGGTCTCTCTATACCCCCCCCCCCAATGGTGTGGTTGTTTGTTATGTGCTTTTATATATTTTCGGGTAGGTGTGGTTGTTGAGGATGTCTATTTGGAGGATTTTTGTATTGGGTGCACTTTGGTTCTTGTAGCTGATCCATTGTCAAGGGGATAGAGGTCCTGCCTTTGTACAATCTTTTCTTTTGTAATAAATTATGAAAGACAAAGCATATTCTTAGCTTAGTTGAGTCTCCTTTCAGTTTGAGGTCAGATTGACATGCTTGGGAAGAGGAGCTAGGAAGTATATTTCCAATAACTTCTTTTTATGATGTTGATCAGCAGGTTATAGAATCCTCTTCAGTTGAGAATATTTTGGGAAGCCAATTCCTCCTAGGACAGAAGCCTTTTGGATGTTAATCATATGCCCAATAATCAATAATCAAGAAGGTTGTGTCTCAGTGATTTAAAAGGCGCACAGGCAAAGCACACTTTAGGGTATGTGCCTTGCCTAGGTTCCAGAAGCAGCACTTTCAAAAGGTGTGCACTTGATGTGCCTTGCGCTTCAGCCCAAACACACACCTTTTGAAAATTTGTGCATTTTTTCCTATTTTTTTATGCTTAGCAGCTGGGCCCGAGAACCCCATATTTGCTAATGTTGCTCATTCATTCATCCTAATAAAAGATACTTTTAAAGACGCTTAAAGTTTTTTGCAAAAACATTTTTTATAGGGATTAAAAATTTAAAACCCTAATATGGACTTGTTTGGGCTTGCTTCAAGGGGCTTAGTACAAAGGTGGCTCGTAGAATCAAGAATGCATAATGTTTAACACTACATTAGCTATTTGAAGTAATGCAATTGGGAAGGGTGTTAACCAATGTTTATGGGCCGAATGACTATAGAGAGAGGAGGAAGTTATGGGAAGAACTGGCTGATATAAGGGGATTTTGGGAAGGACCACGGTGTTTAGGAGGTGATTTCAATGTAATCAGATTTTTGGAAGAAATAAATAGTCCTAGGCAGAGGTCGATATGAGAATGAGGAAATTTAATCAATTTGTGTATGCTTTTGAACTTAAAGAGATCCCATTGTCACACAGTTGTTTTACTTGGTCCAATCTCCAAGTGAATCCTATTTGCTCTAAGTTGGATAGATTCTTATGATCAAATGATTGGGAAGAACATTGGGGGAACTTGATCTCTATAGCACTTCCAAGAGTTACTTCCGACCACTGGCCTATTGTAATTTGTAAGGAGTTGGGAAATGCAAGACCTGCTCCATTCAAATTTGAAAACATGTGGTTAGGGCACCCAAGCTTCATTCAGAAAGTTAAAAACTGGTGCTTAGAGAGTAATCCAACATTGGAATGGAGTGGAATGAGGTTTCAGAAGAAGCTCCAATATCTGAAAGATAGAATCAAGGATTGGAATCTCTTAGAGTTTGGGAGACTAAAAAGCAATCTGGGACTGCACAAATTGAAGTCTTGAATATCAAAGAAGGGAGGGGATGCCTTACAGAAGAGGATAAGGAACAAAGATGGAAATTGTGCAAATAGTTAGAGGAYTATTTGCTTAAGGAAATAAGTTCGAGGCAAAAATCAAGATGCAAGTGGCTGAAAAAGGGAGATAGAAATACCAAGTTTTTTCATGTTGTGGCAAGTGGAAGAAGGAGAAGGAATTTTATCTCGAGTCTAGAAATTGAAGGGGTAACAGTATCCAATCAAAGAGAGATTGTCGGGGCCTTTGCGGATCATTTTAGGTCTATATTTAGAAGACCCCTAAATAATAGGGTGTGGCTTGAGGGGTTGGAGTGGCCAACTTTGAAGTTAGAGGATAGAGAGTGGCTAAAAAGGAAATTTGACTTGAAAGAGATAAAGGAGGCGGTGTTCTCTATGGATAGATCAAAGGCACCAGGCCCAGATGGATTCATGATGGCTTTTAATCAGGATTGTTGGGAGGTACTGGAAGAGGATCTAATGCTGGTATTTGATGAATTCCATAATAGAGGAGTGATTAACCTTGGGTTGAATTCCACATTCATTGCCTTGGTGCCCATGAAAAGAGATGCAAACCATTCGAGGGCTAAGATTATGTGGTGATGCGTTAGGGCTGCAATTTGTTGGACTATTTGGGAAGAAAGAAACTCACGGATTTTTTCAAAAAAGGAGAGATGTTTTGAAGTAATAGTGGAGGTTATTCATATTAGGGTGATGCATTGGTTGAAAACTTTGGACATGTTTGCAGAAAGAAGAAGCAAATTGCAGAATCAACCTCAGCTAAGGTCTCAAGTTCTTGTTGGACCCCAACACCTCACAGTTTTACTAAACTGAATTTTGATGGCAGCAGTATGGGTAATCCAAGGCCCTCCGGAATAGGGGGAGTTTTAAGAGATAAAAAGGGAATCTGTTAGCCATGTATTCTGGTCCAATTGGGGTGGGATATTCCTTGAGGGCTGAGATACTAGCAGCTCTTGAAGGGGTACAAAGGGCTAAAGGCGTGAATATTAATAAACTGATCATAGAAGGAGATTCTGAAATTGTGGTGATCTGGCTAAAAGAGGACAACTCTAGGCTTTGGAATTACAGCAATGAAAAGAGGAAATTTAAGTGGCTGACTAAGGACCTTGAAGTTCAATGTACATGGGTAAAGAGAAGTGCAAATTCATTGGCAAATGGTCTAAGCTAGTCAAAGGGTGAACAGAAACTCTATTTTTTGGGCTTTGTTGTAATTGCTTTATATTTTGGGTGTATCTTGGCTGTATTCGGGAGTTAAGAGTGTTTAGCTCCCTTACTCTGTAATTTTCTCAATCCTTTAATAAAAGTTACTGTTATTGATAAAAAAAAAAGTAATGCAATTGGGAAAAAAATAAAGAGATTAAGAGTTTACATGCTTGAATATGTTTTTATATGTTATGCTTGATTTTATTTTTAAATTTTCATATTAAATATGTTTTACATGTTATGTTTATGTATTTTAATTTGAGATAATAGGTTTTTTAAAACATTTATTTTAAAATTTAAGTTTATATTTTTTATTAATATTTTGTTGTCTTTTTAATATTTTGCATTTTTTTGAATATTTTACCATTTTTTTTGCATTTTTGTACCTTGCTTCAAAAAGGCATGTGCCTTGCCTTATGCCTTGCACCTCAGGCACAAAATGGCCCTTGTACTTTTTTTTTTGTGCCTTGCTTCTAGGTTCTGGAGTCAAATATTCTGTGGCCTGGGTTCCTTTGCATCATTTTAGTAGTTGTAAAAAAAGGTTTTGTGATAGTTGATTGTTTCCAATGTTTATGTTTACAACAGTTCTTTTTGTCAAGACTAGTATATTTTAAAATCAATTACATGCATAGTCCAGATGCATAAGTTTACTTCATAAATTTCCTGAGTAAATATTGAGTGTATAATTCAATGAAAGAATCAAATTCATGATTCAAAGACAATTAAATAGCAATAATAATTCACAAAATCACAATGATGTAACAATAGTTAAATTCACTTTAACAACAAATAGATCTCAATCCTTTCATTTTATCATTTATTCTATATTATACCTTTGCTTTGTTTCAACCATTGCTTGTTTGTTTTTGAACATTACCAATGGTCACATTGAGCAATTATAATCTGTGAATTCATTTCTAGGTTTGTTAATTACATGCTTAAAAGCCTGTCAAGCACAAGAGATAATCATTAGAAGAATTTGAATCAGTGTTTTCTAAGATTTTTTCTCACTCTTGCTATGATGTTTAGACAACTTTATTTGTACAGTTAAATAATAGTTTTGCTCAGAAAAACAACTTTTTGGCATGTTCCTTCCTATAATCTTATTACATGGATGCTGACAAACGAAGGTATCTGGAAATAATTTCTCAACTATTTAGAAGATGAAATCTTTAACTTTATTTTATTTGGCTAAGTGGTATATTAGGCAGTATTGCATGGGCATGGATACAGAAGTAGTATCTGATGCATGCCAAAGAATCTGGCTGGGCAAGATGAAAAAACAAGGACCAATGTACATGTTATAGAAAATATAAAATATTAAAGTAGTCCTTGTTTTGAATCCTAACATTATATATCTAAAAGAAGTCATAGCTTTGTTATTTAATAATAATTTACAGGAAAAATGGCATTTATTGTGATATTATCTGTTCATACATGCCAACTAAGCATGTAGATAAAGAAAAATTTTACACTGTTCCTCAAGAATCAACGGAAGTAGSAAATAAGCAATTGATACGTTAGATGATGTATCTTATGAATCATGATGATAATTTTCTGAGTTGGCTATTTCAGTATTGACAAAAAAGCATCTCCTGGTGCAGAAAAAATTCAGACCACGAGTGGTCAGAAATGGAGGTTCTGAGGTTAGCTGCAGCTGTTGAATCAAATACTATTCATCCCATTGGAAAAGCTATTGTAGAAGCTGCTCGGCTTGCTGGTTGCCAGCATGTGAAGGTAATTCCTCTTTTTCCTGCCTACACTTAACTGAATCCTTTTTTTTTTTTTGTGGTAGTTCCTTCATGCTGAATGTGTCACATTTAATCCATGCAATGACTTGTCTGGATCTGTAGATCATTACTTGGATGTCCCTCCTCCACCTCAACCTGCTGGAAACCTAGCATCAGCCTAAGGCTCTTGTGCAAAGCCATAATCATTAATTTCAATACTCTTGATCACAAGTAGGGCCAGAATAAACCACTACAGTCTCTCCAACATGGCCTCTGAATACTCCTACAATACATTGGAGTCATAGATTCCCCAAAACACATCCATCAAAGTTGAGTTCACTAGGTATTTGTACAGAACCACTGCCTGTGTATTGAGTATGAACTTGCAATGTCCTGTCTTTGATCACAGAGTCCAAAGACATACATCTAAGGTTGTGTTTGGACAAGGTTCAAGATTTGTGATTTCAAAGCCCAAAAGCACAAAGCCCCATTTTTTTATCTTCAAAGTGTTTGTCTTTAGGTTATTATGCTTCTAAAAGCAATTCTTACCAAATTCTCAAAATCACTTTTTGGTTCATTTTTGTTTCCCACAGCCCAAGGCTCAAAGGAAAAAAACTTATCCAAACAGAGCCTAAATTTGTCCTCTATAGATTCCAATTAGCCACTCTAATGGTGACTACGCCAATAATGATCTCTCTGTCCTCAAGACTATAACAGAGAAGATTCTAGGGTTCCTCCCTTCCAAGATGCTCCAATAAATAACTTCTTGTGCAGTCCTGCACACATGCTTCCCTCTTGGTGTGAATCTAGGAGAAACCATCCCTAAACAAGCTTAGATGTAAGTGGATGGTTGCCACCAGTGAGCAGAGAACAGTACAGGGCTATTCCAAATATAAATCATTGTTTATATGTGTGGTGAACTTGCTTCATGTATTTGTGGTGGAATACAGTTGGCTAATTATTTATAAAATAGAAATAAAGCATAAAGATGAAAGTGGAAGGGAGGTTCTTTTAAGTTTTCTTCCAATCAGTGGTTTTCTATAAATAAATATTCAGTATCATTCTTTTATTGCATATTTGCAATCAATGTTAACTTATTTATACTCATAAGAAAATGTATATTAACTTATTTATGGGATAACATCAATATCTTAAACGTTGAATATATCTTTCTTCTATGGACTAGTGAGCACCTAACCACCGACTAGTCATTGCATTCAATAGAGAGGCCAAAACAAGTGCTAGCCATTGCTTCACTACATATTTGTGACATCCAAGACTGACCTAGATCATGATGAATATGGAAAACCTGGTGCATGGATAAGTGGATGTGTTGTGTCATTGCTTCATCCTGAGGGTATGGTTTTCTGGAGTTAAGACAATTTTCTTTTCCCAATATAAATACATCCATAATTGAAGTGATATCCATCTTTCTGCAGAAGTTTTTCTGGACTAGGAGTAGAGCTGTAATGTGGAATGGGCTGCCCGTGGGCCAGCACAACCTACTTGCTATAGTAATCAGGCCATGCTTGGCTTAGGGGTCCAAGCCCATGTCATGGCACAGCCCNACCCCACACACACACTCAATTTTACTATACTATTTCATTCCAATTTTCATATATGAACAATTGTATACATTAAAATTCATATGGAATAAAACTTTAAGATTTTTTTTCAATTTCTTGTCTATCTTAATTTTTTTTAGTTAATTTTTATTATTTTTAATTTTTTGTCATTTTTTACTAATCAAAAACAACAAAAAAAAATGTGAAAAATTAAAAAATCATCAGGTCCATGGTCTGGCCTGGCATGGGCCCGCTAGGATTCAGGCATTGGGTCATGCTGGGCTCCCCCTCTTGGCAGATTCACGCCAAGAATGCATGGCCCACACGCCAACACAGCACAACCTGCTACAGGGTGGGTGGCCCAAAAAAGTGGGTCGTGCCAACACCTGCAACATGTTATGGATGCTAGAGCCATGTCATATTTTTATTTTTCTTTGATAGCTAAACAAGAGAATTACAAGATCTTTGTATTATTGAAAATATCATTTTCTCAAAACAAAATTATTGAAAATATCATGGTACATGAATACATTTGTTTGGTTTTATATCTTTCTGCCAGTTCAACATTTAGGTACTGTGACTATTATTTTAGTTCTTTTCCTGACAATTTGTTGCCACAGGTAGTGGATGGAACATTTAAGGAGGAACCTGGATCTGGTGCAGTAGCAACCATTGGCCAAAAAAAAGTCTCCATTGGAACTTTAGAGTGGGTTCAAAGGTATATTTGTTATTTAATCTCATTGTATTAGGTGGGGTGGAAGTCTTTTATAGGATGGAGAACGAGTATTATTTGTAATATCAGATTGAAGGATTCGAAGAGAAAACTTAGAGAGAAGAGAGAAGAGAAGAAAAAAAGGAAAGAATAATAACAGAAGAGAAAGTTGGTTGAATGTGAAAGAGTATGTTTATTAACCCCTCTGCCCTCTATTAATATTAATCCAATTAAGGTAGCATTACTAGTATTATCCATGCTTACACTGGTAAAAGGAAAAAAACACACCTTTAACAGCCAGCCAATATGTAATAGAATTAGCAACATATTAAAAAGGAAAATGTTTTCATCGTGACAATGTTGTCAGCGTTTGTTTTCATTTCTTTAGTTATTTCCTAATAGATTGTATATGCATCAAATTTAAGTACATACCTAGTTTAGCTATTCTGCACTCCACATATATTGATCTTTCTCTGAATTGCTTCTTAAAGTGCTCCTGTGATTTTTCTGCTGCATAACCATTTCCCTTTTTATCCCTTGTTTACCAACTGGAAATTTGAAATTATACAAACAGAATATGTGTGTCAGAACCTAATGCATGATTCCTATAATAATTGCAGGGACATGACCATTATCTGTATGAATACCATAACAACAGTTGTAAATATTGAAGGGAAACATTGAAATCTCATTTAAAGATCCCCCCCCCAAGAAAATGAAAAGAATAAATCAAAGAAAAAAAGAAAAAACTAAAGGTTTCACAGAAGTGACATATTAGTGAAAACCTAARAATCTTACATATGTAGCCATTCTGTATGACATAAATATGGGCAGTCCTACTGATGAGACACCTCTTGAATAGCCATTTCCAATCCCATTCCTAAGCAAAAGAATCCAAACTAATAAACTTTATGTTGATTTCAAGATGGGTAGAATTTAAGATCCGATTGGAATGATTTTGGGCTGTTGAGTAGCACAATAGGTGTACCATCAAGGCATCAATTGGGTGGTCTAAAGTTATACAGAATATTATGTGTACTGTTTTTTTTTTTTGATAAATATTATGTCTGCTGTATGTTATACTACCTCTTTTACTTCAGATTATGTGATGCCATTTCTTTACTACAGGCATGGAGTGGATGGGAACCCCTTTAAAGAGGTTGAAGAATTTAAGAATCAATCCATTGTCTATGTAGGTATTGATAGTTCTCTAGCAGGTCTTATTTATTTTGAGGACAAGATCAGAGAAGATGCTTGTTATGTGGTTGAGTCTTTGTCTAAGCAAGGAAAAAGCATATACATGCTTTCTGGGGACAAGAAGCATACTGCTGAGTATGTGGCATCAGTTGTTGGTATTTCCAAGGACAAAGTAAGAATTTTGCAATCATTGTCTTTGTTTAGAAGTAAAAAATGCGATGCATTGCAACAAATTTTACTAATTTTGCAATCACTTTAAAGATCTTTTTTTTTCRGACCTCTTTCACTTGACTTTGAAAATTACTAGAATTACCTTTGGGTAGTCACACTTTAAAACTTAAGGCATTTCACAAATTTTAGTCCAATAGCACCAAGACATTGAATGGGTTGGATCTCAATTATGCAAATGACAATCTAGCATTATGATCAAGCTTTCTTGTTTAGGGGTGTAAACGGATCAAATTCGAATCGGATCAAGCAATATCCAAATTTGAATCTGATATTCGAATTCAATTCGATATCTGACGGATATTGAAAATTAATATTCGAATTCAAATCCAATTAAATATTCGAATATTCAATTCAATTCGAATTCGACTAATTAATTATTTTAGGTAATTAATAAATATATAAAATAAATATTTTATTTATATAAAGTATATAAATATATAAATTATTTATATAATTTAATTATTATATAAAACATTTAAAAATTTTATATATTATATATAAGAATTAAATAAACTGTCGAATTCGGATACTTATCGAATCGAATCAGGTCCTATCCGAATTTGAATCCGATTTAGCTATTCGGTATGAATAGGATATCCGAATTCGACCAGTTAGATATTCGAATTCAAAATCGGATTTTCGAATACCGTTGGCACCCCTATTCTTGTTATCCTATATTGATTCAATAAGTTGCTTCCAAAGGCATAAAATTCTATCAACTTTGATGCAAATATGAAAGTGAAGCAAGAAATTGAAGACGAGAGGTCAGACGGCAACTTGCAGAATGCACTGCCAACCAAAAAAAGAAGTAACTGATTGAACAGCCAAACCCTGTTGATTTGGCTGAAATTTGGTGGCATTAAAATACACTTGTAGTACTCCATTTCTGTAAATTTTCAGCTCAATCCGATATGTGGAAGTTCCCAACTAAAGGCTTCAAAATGACTGATTTTTGGGTTCTGCAAGTCATGGTCAAAGTCATAGTTAATAGGTTGGCCTGGGGACCCYAACTATTTTTAGTAATTCCCATGATTATTATTTATAGTAAACATGACTTGCTATTTTTAGTAATTTCTAGAAAGTTTCTACTTTTTTTTGTTTGTAGTTTGAATACAAGAGTTAGAGTCCCAAGTAGGAAGTTGAAAGTTGCTATTTTGTGTCTATAAAAAGAGTTTCAACAGGTCTTGTAGAGAGCAACCTATTATATTCTATTTTTTCCTACTAAGGACTGAATAAAGAATTCTCTCTCTATTTACCATAGCCAGCAGCTATAGTAGAAATTACTCTTGCTTCCTCTTCTATTTTCTCTTCTTAATTTGCTTGTTAATACTTGTAGTTGAAGCCTACTGTTGCATGTTAGAGTTGTCAAGTGTAGGAAGAAGAAGAAGAAGAAGAAGAAGAAGGTGTTACTGTTCACACCCTAAATATTTCATTATATATTAAGGCAAAAAATTAGTCATATCCCTATAAGGGCGCCCAAAATACACTCCGCCTTAAACTGAGCATAGATATCTATCATGCCCAGCTTGCTCAAGTTTCTATCAAGTTTTGGCTTGCTGAGACCCTTAGTGAGGCAATCAGCAAGTTGGTTCTCTGACCTAACAAAAGGCACACAAATTTCTCCATTAGCTATCTCTTCTCTAATGAAGTGTCTGTCAACTTCAATATGCTTTGTCTGATCATGTTGAACAGGGTTATGAGCAATGTTTATGGCAGCTTGATTATCACAGTGTAGCATCATTGAGGTTTCATCTTGAATCTCAATCTTTGATAATAAAGACTTCAACCATAGCAACTCTGATACACCATGAGACATATCTCTATATTCAGCTTCAGTACTAGATCGGGCAACAACAAATTGTTTTTTGCTTTTCTGAGACACAACATTACCTCCTACCAAGGTGTAGTAACCAGAAGTTGATCTTCTATCATCTATAGAACCTGCCCAATCAGCATTAGTATAAGCCTCGACATCGAGATGTCCCTGATTAGAGTACAACAGTGCTTTACCTGGACACCCCTTTAGGTAGGCAAGAATCCTGTCAACAACCTTCATATGCAACGTTCTAGGACTGTGCATATACTGACTCACCATGCTAACAGTATAGGATATATCAGGCCGAGTCAGGCACAGGTAAAGAAGTCGACCAACAAGCCTCTGGTAGACACCCTTGTCTGGAAGAATATCTCCATCACCAGCACTCGGTTTATGATTGGGGTCAATAGGAGTTTCAACTGGCTTACACCCTAGTTTCCCAACCTCATGAAGGAGATCAAGGACATACTTCYTTTGTGAAATGAATATCCCCTCCCTTTGACCTTGCCACTTCGATTCCAATTAAGTATCTAAAATTCCCAAGATCTTTGATTTCAAATTCAGAAGCAAGGAATGACTTTAGTTGGTTTATCCCAGAGTGATCATCTCTAGTGACAACAATATCATCCACATACACTATCAACAAAGTGAGTAGGACATTAACCCTTCTTATAAACAAAGTATGGTCCGCTTGTGGTTGTGTAAATCCAATTCTGAGAATAGCCTTCCTGAATCTATCAAACCAAGCTCTAGGGGACTGTTTAAGCCCATAAAGAGATTTTCTTAAACGACAAACCTTCCCCTCACTGTTAGGTAAGACTACCCCTGGTTGTAAATCCATGTATACCTCCTCTTGCAGATCTCCATTTAGGAAGTCATTTTTCACATCCATCTGATATAGAGGCCATGAATAATGAGTAGCGAGAGACATAATAACTCGAATAGAGTTCATTTTGGCTACAGGAGTGAAGGTCTCTTGATAGTCAATCCCATATGTTTGGGTGTATCCTTTTGCCACCAACCTAGCTTTGTATCTTTCAATTGATCCATCAGCTCGATGTTTAATGGTATACACCCACTTGCAGCCTACTTGGACTTTGCCTTCAAGAAGAGGAACAAGCTCCCAGGTGTGGTTTTTTTAAGAGAACCTTTATCTCTTGGTTCATAGCATCCTTCCATTGAGGTGATTGCACTGCATATGAAACATTACGAGGAGTAGAAACAGAGGAGATAGCAGTAACATAAGCATGATAGGAAGGTGAAAGAGCATCATAAGAAACATAGTTAGCGATGGGATAGGCAGTGCATTTCCTTTTTCCTTTTCTAATTGCAATGRGAAGGTCAAGGTCAGATTGTGAGACATTAGGCTCAATAACAATAGGAGAAGGAAGTTCAGGGTTGCTTTCAAAGTTACCTGGAACCGGGTGATTAGATTGTTGTGGACATTCAGCCTTAGGAGTATCCTTCCTTCTACGCCTTATAAACCACTGTTGCTAGGATCCCTGGAGAGGATAGGGGAGGTGGAGCAGGAACACTGTTACTACAAGGGGAAGACGAACTAGGAATGTCCATAGAGGTAGGAATAGGAAATCAAAAAGGAGTTTGATCTTCACAAACACTCTCCCCCTAAAGAGAAGGACGAGTGGACTAAAAATATGGAGTAGACTCAAGGGATGTAACATCCTTAGATACATACCTTCGACTAGTATGGGGATCAAAGCACTTGTACCCCTTTTGGACTGGAGAGTAGCCCAAAAATATGCATTTGATAGATTTAGGGTCAAGTTTCAGACAAGGACTCATGTCATGAGCAAAGCAACTACAACCAAGCACTCTGAGAGGCAGACTAAAAATAGGATCCTTAGGAAACAAAAGTTGATTAGGTGATTGAAGAGAAAGGGAATGTAAAGGAAGTCTATTAATGAGATACACTGTTGCTTCAACTGCATCTCCCCATAATCGAGTTGGTACATTCATCTGGAAGAGAAGGCCTCTTGCCACCTCAACATGTCTGCTTTTTTTTCTTTTTTGCTACACCATTCTGTTGCGGAGTATGAGAACCAATGATTTAAAAGGCGCACAGGTGAGGCGCATTTCAGGGTATGTGCCTCACCTAGGTCCTAAGCGCAGCCCTTTCAAAAGGCGCACGCTTGGTGCACCTAAGCATGCGCCTCAGCCCAGGCGTGCGCCTTTTGAAAATTTGACGCTTTTTTTCTCCGAGAACCCCCAATTTGGTAATGTTGCTCATTCGTTCATCCTAATAAAATGTTTTCTTAAAAAGCAATTAAAACTATAAAATCATTATTTTTTGTGTGAAAACTAAGAATTTAAGACCTAACATGGACTTGTTTGGGCTTTCCTCGAGGGGTGTGGCATAGGGGCGGCTCGTAGAATCAAGAATGTAATATGTTTACATTACATTAGCTACTTGAAGTAATGCAATTGAGTGAAAAAAGAGATTAGAGGTTTTACATGCTTGAAAATGTTTTATATGTTTGATTTTATTTTTAAGTTCTCATTTGAATATGCTTTACATCTTATGTTTATGTATTTTAATTTTAGATAATAGGTTTTCTAAAACATTTATTTTAAAATTTAAGTTTATATTTTTTTATTAATATTATGTTTAATATTTTTTGAATTTTTTGGCACTTTTTTTAGTTTTTAGGATTTTTTTTGTATTTTGCGCCTTGCGCCTTGCGCTTTTAAAACACTGGTGAGAACATGAACTTTGATTAATTGATCTCTTTCCTTCAAGGAATAACCGCAGATGCTTTTCAAAATACTCCTTAGCATTGCCAGACCTTATTATCTTGATGTGCCTTTCAAATTATGTTTCCACCATCTTGAAGAAGTTCTAAACATTGGAGAAGACCTCATCTCTACTCTTCATCAGGTAAAGCCAAGTATATCTAGAGTAATCATCAAGGAACAATATAAAATATTTATAGCCGCCCATACATGGAGTAGAGTACGGGCCCCAAACATCAGTGTGTATCAAGTTGAAAGCAACATCACTCCTTCTATTACTTGCAGGATATATAGTTCTACATTGTTTTGAGAGGTGGCAAACTTCACATTCCATACCCAAACTAGACCCAAACTGACATAAGTTTGGAAACAAAAATTTAATGGACTTAAAAGACACATGACCGAGGCGACAATGACACAACTTCAAAAGACTCAAATTTTCATATTGACATGACTCAGTCTGGCACAGTAATCCTTGCTCAGAGGTTTGATCAAAAAGGTAAACTCTAGCAGCTTCATGTCTAGTTCCAATCGTCCTCCCCGTTCTCAGGTCCTAAAAAACACAATGAAAAAGGAAAAAAGTCACTAAACAGTTATGGGGTTTGGTAAGAGTGCTAACGGATAAAAGATTCTTGTACAATTGGGGAACATAAAGGATAGAGCTCAAGGAAAAATAACGAGTAAGCTTAACCTCCCCCAAACCAGAGATAGGGGTCTGAGATTCATCAGCTACAGTGATTTTTCCTTCCCCTGGAACCAACTTATGAGAGGTGAAGTGGGAAGGTATACCAGTCATATGTGCACTAGTTCCAGAGTCCACAATCTAGGAGCTAGTAGGAGAAGATTGACAAGTAAGTGCAGTACTTGTTTTTGCAAAAGCACTGGAAGGATTGCTAGAACTAGTTGAGGTAGAGGGCCCAGACTTCTCAAGCTGAGTCAACAGAATCCTAAGCTTCTCCATCACACCAGAGGAATCATGTGTGGGAGCCTATACATTAGGAGGGCAATCAGCTTCAACAGTAGCAAGATGAGCATTACCCTTCTTTGTAGTTTTAAACTTGTCAGGCTTCAAATGTGGATTCAATTTCCAACACCTGTCCTTCTTGCAGTAATCACATACCACGTCATCATGCTTTTCATTAGTACACCGTCTGTTTGTACACGGCTTGGACCTTGAAGACATGTAGGCAAAATGATAAATCACTAGGGATCTGCACTCAAAATATGCCATCAAGTAAAATCATACTCACCATTCAATCCAGCCAAGAAGTCAGACACTCGGTTCTTCTCAACATACTTCTGATATTGTTCACCATCCTCAAGGTTCTTCCATTCCAAGTTCTCCAAATGGTCCATTTCTTCCCATAGAGACTGCAAAGAAGAGAAGTACATGGATACAACCCTCTCCCCCTGACRCATATTACAAGCTTCTCTTCGGAGTTGGTAGACTCGAGCTATATTTTTTGCTTAAGAGTATGTGGTTGTAACACGATCCCAAATATCCTTGGCAGTGGAGAGAAACATATAATTGCAGGCAATATGTGGCTGCATTGAACACACCAGCCATGACATAACCAAGGAATTGTCTTTTTCCCATCTAGCAAGTTTAGGGTCATCAGCTTTTGGCTTCTCCTTTCTACCAGTAATAAATCCCAACTTACCCCTACCTCCGATAGTAAGCTTGGCTGATTGAGACCACTCTAGGAAGTTGATTCCATCAAGTTGTGTAGTGGTTATTATACCACTAGAGACATCGACATTACCCGGAAGCACTCTGGAAACAGTCTGTAACTCCTTAGGCACATCCATTTGAGTTGGGTAGGCCTTTTAACAGTTCTACAGCACTCCAACCAACCGACACACATAAGACCCACAAAAGATGGGAAACACTTGGTTGGAATCCAATGGTTGGCCCAAAACTGAACTGGCGGCAATATATGAGGGAAAGAAGACCTCCCAAAGAAAGATTAGAGGTCATAAAAAAGTGGAACCACTTCCCATACCTTTAGTGATGCCAAATAAACCAAAACCAACAAGTTTCAAGCATGCATTGAACTTAGACAAGGAAGAAAAAATCCAAACATCGAACCAGTATTTTTCTGTATTTTCTGATTATAAAATCCGGGAAAAATCATAGACACATCAGATGACGATAAGAACCATACCAAAATAACCCTAAAATTAGGGGGCACCAGAGTATATCAGATTCAAGGGTTGCCACCGGTACCTTTACGGACTGCTGACGTCATCCGGCAGCAGTCTGATGTCAGCAGGTCTTCTTGAGTTCGCGAGTTGGCAGAGAAACCTAATCCAAGACTTCTTCCTGCTCTGATACCAAGTTGTCGAGTGTAGGAAGAGAAAGAAGAAGAGTTACTGGAGAGAATAGGGTGTCCACTGTTCACACCCTGAATATTTCATTATATATTAAGTCAAAAAATTAGTCATGTCCCAATAAGGGCGCCCAAAATACAAATAATAAGAAAAGATAACAATACCCCTAAGACAAATGCACATTCTCAACAGTTAGAAATTTCTTCAAAACTAAATACAAATGCTTATAATTGAATTACACACCTAGGATTTTAGGCTTCAAAATTTAATTCTATGCTGATGTACATTGGAAAGGGTGTACATCTCTTTCCAGGGCTCAGTCCCCCCCCCCCCGGCCATGGTATATCAGCGGGATTACTCCAATAGAATGCTGTTGGGTGGATCCTTTGAAGCCTTAACTTAGTGACCGTGGCTAAAGAGAGGGTGTAAGGAGACGGGAGGTTTCTGTTCAGAAAAATTTCTGATCTGTTTTTTATTAAGATAAATACAATGCAGAGAGGCAATTTCTATTTATTCATTGCTCACTTGTTTCTTGAAAATCAATCTTTAATGATACAGGAACAGCTTTATAGAAATTGATCTACATTTTCACTGATCCGTGAATGATTCACATGGTTTTGAGACTTGCATTGTGCAAAAGTTAGTTCAGTCTTTTATGGAAATGACTTAATATTAAAGAGAAGGGACTCAAATGACTAGAAGATGCTTTCAGGGAAATTCACTTTACTGGAACTTAGCTTAAGGTACCTTGTATAAATATTAGGGGTGTGAATCCTTAAGCTTGAGATTTCCATTTGGAAAGTTGTCAGGATTTAATTATTGTTTTCATGGACAATACTGAAGAAAGTTCAACCTGTTTAAAGGGTGCAGTTTTTGTACAAAATGCACTTTAGCCCTTTGCAATCAAGGTGTTATATTAGGTTATTTTTTTATATACCTTTTGTCTTGTCTTTTTTTCCCTTTTACTTTCTGAAATTCTTAGTTGGGGAATAACAATGAAATTAATAAATAAACCAGCATTATTTATCAAAAATAAATAAATAAATAAACCAGCATCACATACAAGTATTAGAGAAGAAAAACCAAGTGGCATTAAGGCATGGAATGCAAAAGACCTGGATGAGAACAACCAGAAAGATCTCCAGTGCCCCATGTGATCTTCACAGGGTTGTTTCTGATTAAGAAGAATCTCTTGGGAGACTCCAGTTGTTGTTTGGTCCAAGGTTTGGATTATGATCATAGACTTTATAATCAGAAGATTTAAACCTTTATTGACTTAAATTATATGTAAAACACTTTGGGAGATTTACTACTATAAGTGAAATAAAAGGATGTGGATGGCAGGTGCTGTCAGGAGTCAAACCTGATGAAAAGAAGAAATTCATTTCTGAACTTCAGAAGAATCGGAAAATTGTAGCTATGGTTGGTGATGGAATTAATGATGCTGCTGCATTGGCTTCATCAGACATAGGAGTAGCTATGGGCAGCGGTGTTGGAGCTGCTAGTGATGTGTCAAATGTTGTTCTCTTGGGCAACAAGCTTTCACAGGTATCTGCATGTATCTCTTTTGACATTCTAGATCTTCAGATTGCCATTTAGGATTTTTTTTGATAAATAATTAAATCCTTTTATTAAATTAGAAATATTAGCACATACAAGTAGCCCTTGGAGAGGCACAAGCTGTGAACTCTCCACTAAAGAAGAAAACAGAAACTACAAGTTACAGTTGTGCCCAATGCAAAAGTTCCATAGTTTCCCCTTGCTTGGCTAGACAATCCGCCATAGCATTTGCTGGTCTCCCCACCCAGTGTATTCTTAGGGACATAGCATCTTAAACTTCTTAATTTCATTCCTGAAACACCAAACTGCTGACTCTGGGTTCTGCAACCAGCTTATTATGACCTTGGAGTCACCTTCAACTATTAGCTGTTCCACCCCTAATTGAGCTGCAAACTGTACACCTTGCAGGGCAGCAAACAATTCTGCTCTAGTAGAGTCTCCCACACCTAGAGGACCTGAGACAATAAGTATCACATTTCCAACTCCATTCCTCAATACCCCTCCCAGCCTAGAGGGCCCTGGGTTTCTTTGACTGCTTCCATTAAAATTCAACTTCAAGAACCTTGCAGGAGGTGATGACCAGTTTGTTCTTACTTCAGTCTTGGAAGAGGAACAACTTGCCACTGCTGCCCAATTCCTCCAAATATCATTAAAGGAGAACTGGTGGAACAAGTCTAAAGATTTAAGCCAATGAATCACCCTATACAAGACACAGTCCTTAATCTTTTGATGGTTTCTTACCTTCTCCTAGAAAGTTCTAGCATTCCTCTCTTCCCAATTTGTCCAGATCAATGCAGCTCTTGCACACCTCCACATAATTTTACCTCTTTCTGCTGCCAAACAAAGGTAGAGGAATCAAAAGGCAGACTTAAATCTGCTGGCAAGTTCCACCTGCTCCCAAACAAAGAGAGGAGCCAATTCCATAACTCTGCAGTAAAAGAACAAGAAATTAGTAAATGATAACAGTCTTCACTCTGAGATCTACAAAGGATGCACCAGTTGGGGGAAATACAGAGAGATTACCTTAAAAGGAAAGGCCAGCTGAGGATTTGAGCAACAAAGGGATTTGAAGAAAGAAGCACAAGAGATTGCCATTTAGGATTCTTTTTGAGGTTACCTTATTTCTTGTGCAACACATTCAGGAAACATTTTGCGACTTTCCAGAATAATATTCTTGCTGCTTTTCTGTTCCCAGTATATAGAAAGACAACTATTTTCTGCTTTTCAAGAACTGGAGGTAGAAAAAAGAAGTATTTCAAGGAACATTACCAAATACTGCCTTATTTTCTGTTTTATTTCCGAAGTGTATCTTGGTCCTTTTTTTGAGAGATAAAATTCTGAACAATATATGTTGGTTCACCCTTGCATTATCTAGAAATGAATTGAGAAGTGCAAAATGGATATCTGTTGTCTAACATAGTAAGTTGGAGTTGGAATAGTTTTTTAACTTTTGCTTCTTTTTATCATATAAAGAATCATTGCTTTAAAATGTTGGAGAATGTGATATGTAAATGGAAACTGACATGTGAACACCTCCATGCAGTTGCTTGAAGCAATGGAATTGAGTAAAATGACAATGAGGACTGTGAAGCAAAATCTTTGGTGGGCATTTGCTTATAATATTGTAAGTTCTACTCCTGTTAACAAATTTGTGCTGTACTTTGAAATATCTATAAATGAATGCCCCTTAAATTTTAAGGAAAAAAGAAATTCATTGTGAACTTCTTAAGTGGCCAACCTCTTTTTATTGTAAACAAGAATCCTTATTGATATGTATAAAAAAGGGAAGGAACAAGGCAATGTGTGCACCTGAACAAAGCGTGGTCCCACTTTTGAGAAAGAAATAGAAAGGGGAAAAACTTAACCATGAAATCCTAAGTTCTGAAAGAAATAAAATATTTCAAAAAGCTTATTTGCTCAGCTGGTTAGAGTATCCTTTATTAACACAAAGGTTGTGGCTTTGGGCATTTGTGTTTGATATAGGCTAAACTATTTAAACTCTACACCAAATTCAAGATGAATTCATCAAAACATTTTGTTACAGATCTAATATGTACTGGTTTCAGTCCTAGAACAATAAAGAAATAGAACGGAGAAGAAAGAGAGAAGAGATAGGAGAGAAATTCTGGTTTGAACTAGAGAGGAAGTCTTACTCAGTCAGCCAGATACTATTTAAAGGTTTCTAATTAAATTTACAAAGACACTTATGCCCCCTAATTAAAACAAAACATAAAAGACATCCACACTCTTAATMTAAGATAAAAAGACCAAACTACCCCTTAATAGTTGACTCTAACACTCCCCCTCAAGCTGATGAGTATGTCATATAGTCCCAATTTGTTACATATGTAATCCACTCTTCCCTAACTCAACCCTTTGGTGAATAGGTCTGCCCATTGACTTCCTATGCTTACATATGTAGTACTTATTACTCCATTGAGCACCTTCTCTCTCATAAAGTGACAATCAAGTTCTATATGTTTTGTTCTCTCGTGGAGAACTGGATTAGGAGAAATGTGGATTGCAGCTTGGTTGTCACAATACAGCTTCATAAGGCTATCAATTGAGTACCCCATCTCTTGTAAGAGATTCTTCAACCATACTAGTTCACATGTAGTGTGTGTCATGGCTCTATATTCAGCTTCAGCACTACTTACCACCACAGTCTGCTTCTTGCTCTCCATGTCACCAAATTGCCCCCAAGAAAGGTATAGTACAGTATAGTGGACCTCCTATCAGATATTGAACCAATTCAATCAGCATCTGTGTAGCCCTCTATCTCAATACTTCATCCACTATTATATAACAAACCACGACCTGGAGCTCCCTTCAAGTATCATACAATCCTTAGAATTGCATCATAATGTGGAACCCGAGGATTCTGCATAAACTGACTCACCACACTAAATGCAAATTATATGTCTAGTCGAGTTATGGTCAGATAATTTAACTTATCCACCAACCCCTGGTATCTTCTTGGATCTTCAAACTCCTCACCTGCATCACTACTCAACTTGACATTTGGCTCCATGGGTGTCTTAGTTGGTTTGGCACCCAACAATCCTATCTCCTCTAACAAGTCAAGAACATACTTTCTTTGACATAGATTAATACCATGCTTAGACCTTGCTACCTCTATCCCTAAGAAAAATTTTAGTTTACCAAAATCTTTTGTTTGGAAGTGATCATGCAGAAAGGTCTCCAGTCCATCAATCCCCAACCTATCACTGCCAGTAATAACAATGTCATCTACATATACCACCAACAAAATCTTCCCAGCACTTGAATCATAACTCTATACTAAATAATCAACCTAACACTGTCTCATGTCGAATTCTTTCACCACTTTACTGAATCTACCAAACCATGCACGTGAAGATTGTTTAAGTCCATAAATGGCCTTCTTGAGCCTGCAAACCTTAACATCCTCCCCTTGAGCAATAAACCCTGGTGGTTGCTCCATATAGACCTCCTCAAGAATGTTACCATGTAAAAAAGCATTCTTGATGTCGAGCTGAAACAAAGGCCAATCATACATAGCAGCTAGGGATATCAAAACACAGATAGAGCCAATCTTAGCAACAGGAAAGGTCTTTGTATAGTTAATGCCATATAACTATGAGTAACCTTCTGCAACCAACCAAGCCTTCAACCACTCTACACTACCATTTGGTAAGTACTTGACAATGTATACCCACTTACAACACAACATGCTTGCCAGGAGGAAAATTAGTGAGATCACACGTGTGATTATGAGCTAGAGCTGAGAGTTCTTCCATTGCTTGGCACCACCTTGGAGAGATAAGAGCTTCCTAGTCATTCTTAGGAACAAAAACAGAACATAGCAGAGAAACAAACTATCGATGGGAGGCAAAAAGGTGAGAGACAAAAACATAATTAGAAATGGGATGAAGAGTGTAATTGCATCTACCTGTTCACAAGGCAATGGGAAGGTCAATGCCAGAGAGAGGGAGTGAAGCTGGTGTAGAAACAACTACTGGATTTGTCGACGGAGAAGAAATTGGAGGAGTTGGTACATGGTGATGCATAAACACTTGCCTGATTGGTGGTCATTCAACAAGCTGCATTAGAGGCGAGGGCTTGGTCACAAATGGAACAAGAGGGTTTGGATGTTTGAGGTGTAGAGGACTGAGAAAGAGAAGAAAACATACCTGGAGTCCTAGTCATATGATCGGAAGTTTCAGAGTCAATAATCCAATGAGAGGGTTTGAATGCCAAACAACCCATATGCCTAAGTGGGCAAGGGTAGCTATATTCTACTATGAGGTAGCCTGGAGTAACCGCTCATACTTATCACGTGGAACACTCATCATTTCTTTCCCAAAGGCATCTATAGATGTAGGTGTTTGAACAATTTGCTGAATTTCATCTCTTGTACCACCACCACTAGCCATTGCATGATTAGCCCAAGTTGAGGGTGGCCCATGTAGATCATAACAAAAGTTGACAATGTGTCCCTCAATTCCACAGTACGTACACTTCCCCAGACCATTACCACATCCTCTACCACGAGCTTCCCTTGAATCTTTTGACCTCCAATGCACTCACCACCACGATTGAACATGGGACCACACCCTGAATCTTGGGTTCCATGCTATTCCACAACTAGGGGTGTCAATTGGACTGGATTTGGTCCAATCCGATCCAGTCCAATATGAGTCCATTACAAATGGACCAGGTTCAATCTAATCCAATGAATGTTTTTGACCATTTAATTTAGATTGGTTCCAACCCAAAACTGGTCCATTGACACCTATATTCTTTTCTTCTATCAATGGACCAGATATTGGCTCAAATCAACCCAATCCAATATAAACCTTACAGATGGACCAGGTCCAATCCCATCCAGTAAATACTTTGGACCATTAAGTCTGGACTGGTCCAATTCAATATGCCTTGTTGGTCCATCCAATCCGTCCAAATTGGTTTTGGTTTGGACGGGAATCCAAAACTGGTCCATTGACACCTCTATCCACAACCATGTCATAATTTGTGCATCTTCTTGTTCCCACTCACTCTACCCCTGAAAATCAACTGAGGGTTTTTCTTCTTCACATGCTTCACTTTTTACTTTTCACTTGCTAGCCACCAAACTGCACCACTAATGGCTAAGTATTGCTGAAAACATCTGTTGTCACAGTTTTCAGCAATAACATTCACTGCTGTCCTACACTTTCAGCACCACAAAACCACCCGGATACACCCCAAACATATACCATTAGGTCTGCAACTAACCAATAGCTCTTTTTTTTATAAATGAAGAAAGATTTTATTAGAAAGTGTATAGAACAAGTACAAATGTCCCATGGAGAGGCACGAGCTGCGACCTCTTCAAGACATCAAAAACAAAAGCTTACTACAGAGATGCCCAATACAATTATTCCCTATTTGCCCCTTGTTTGGCTAAGCTATCAGCCAAAGCATTTGGTGATCTCCCCACCCAACAAATTCTAATACACAAACTTCTTGTTAGCCACTTGAATTTTTTAATTTCATTCGTAAAACACCACACCACACCACTGACTCTAGTTTCTGTAGCCACCTTGGAATCTCCTTCTATTATTAGATGTTCCACTCCTAGCTGTACTACAAACTGCACCCCTTGAAGGGCAGCTAATAATTCTGCCCTAGTGGAGTCCCCCACTCCTAAGGGGCCTGAGTATAATATAACTACATTTCCTCTTCCATTCCTTATAACCCCTTCCATCCCAGAGAGATCTGGATTGCCTTGGCTACTACCATCAAAATTTAATTTCATAAAGCCTTCATGGGGGGGAGTGCCCAACTCAAACACAACCTCTTCTTGAAGGAGGAGGAGCTTGCCACTGTTGCCCAACTCCTCCAAAGATCATCAAAGGAAAATTGATGAAAAAGATCCATAGGTTTCAGTCACAAGATGGCTCTATACAAGACACACTCCTTCAGTTCTTGTAGGCTTCTTTCCTTTTGGAAAATCCTTGTGTTCCTTTCTTCTCACACTGGCCATATTAGAGCTGCTCTTGCACACAGAACACCTCCACATCATTCTTCCTCTTCTATGTCGCCAAGCAAAGGTAGACATATCAAAAAGCATGCTTACTTCTGCTTGCCTCTTTCACACTGTAAACACCCATGCAACCCACCTATTTCAACCACACAAATCAGCCCTGCACTAATCTGTCCACTACACCACCTGAAATAGCCTTCTTCGATCCATCAATTAGAGGGTTTCTACCAACTACCTGAAACACTCACTGCACCACCAACTGGAGGCATGAAAACCTCCAAAAGAAGAAAACTATCACTCCTTTTCAGCCCTTCTGTGAATCTCCAAGTGATTGATGAGATCTCTGCAGAGAACTAGGGTAAAGGCGATCCAGAATTCTGGGTTGACCTCTGAATCAATTACAGCAGCTCCAATACCATGTTACAGATCTAATCTGTATTGGTTTCAATCCTAGAACAATAGAGAAATAGAACAGAGAAGAAAGAGAGAAGAGAAGAAGAGATAGGAGAGAAATTCTGGTTCGAACTAGAGAGAAAGTCTTACTCTCTAGTTGACCAGATATTGTTTAAAGGTTTCTAATTAAAGTTACAAAGACAATTATGCCCCTAATTAAGTATGGGACATAACACTTAAAACAAAACATAAAAGACATTACACCACACTCTTAATATAAGATGAAAAAGACCAAATTACTCCTTAACAGCCAACTCAAACACATAATATAGAAACTAGGCAGGCGAGGCATGCCCACAGTATGAGCCTTGCCTCCACATCTAAGGTGTGTGCCCTCATTGGGAATAGGAAGCAAATTTACAATCCACATCAGCGCATGTGTATGTGGGATCTGGGGATTTGCACTATATGATATGCAACATCACTACTAGCCAGCCACTAGGAACAAAGTAGTGATGAGATTGATAGTATTCATGTAGGGTAGGGTTGCAAACAGATCAAATCAAATTTTTATAGGGGTATATCCAAGAGTTGCAGAAAATCAAATTTCATTCAAAAACTTCAGTTTTTTTACTAACTTTAAAAGGAAAGTGAAAACTATTATTTATTAACACAAAAAAACACTAACCTTAGATACCGGTCAAACAACCTAATGGAGTAACAGAAATCATTGTAGAGCATATTCATGGGATATTTCACGATGATAGAACTGCAAAGGTATCAGATCAAACTGGAAATACCTAGAACCAAATTTGATTTATTAATGTTCAGTTTCAAATATAATCTTTTCCATTAGATTTAGATCAGACTTGAATTGGATTTGAATACTGAATACCATTAATAAATAAAAGTAAAATGACCAGAACATTGTATAGGTTCATTTAGTTAGATACACCCTATAGTTTCACATATTTACTAAAGCCTACCTTCTAGTTTGTGTATTACTGATACCCCCTATGGTTTGCAACCCACTTTACTTGATTGTCCTTCTGTCAGGAACTGTTTTCATTTGGGAATGTTCATGTAGCCTCTTAAAATGAGTGGAAAATGTGAAAAGGCATAGGGCCGAGTTTTTTATTTCAAAAATACCCCTAGTAATTCTCATAGCACATGCACTCCACACCTTCTCCAGACCAAGTTATAATGTAGGGGGAGGATTTTGTTTCTGTAGAGATGATGGGCCGAATAAGCCTTAGTTTCTTTATTTTTCTCAAGTTAAATAGGGTAACCATGTAATTGTCCTCATTATTACAATCAAAGAATAAAAGATATTGTTGGGGGCTGAAGAGGGGATCGAACTACTCTCTCTTCTACTTCCCTTTCTTCCATCTTCTTCCTCCATCACTTTTCTCTCTTCCATCTCCTTCAATCTTCTTCTTCTCTCCTGTTTTTCTTTTCTTTTATTTCAGATTATTGCAGGTGGGATTTACAACTCTAAAAGGTTGATATGAAAATGCTAGGGGTATTTTTAGAATAAAAAAAAACTAGATCCTCCTTTCATTATTTTTCACTTGTTTTAAGAGTCTACTTGACCATTCCCAGATTTGAATATACATGGTTCCTACTAAAAGGTTTATTAAGGGGTGAAGAGAACTGCAAATTCCTTTGCTGATGGACTAGCTAAGCAAGGGGTGAATAGGGATTCTTTGTTTTGGGCTTACTTCTAATTCTGTTTCTTTTCTTTTCTTTTCTCTGCTTGTGGGGGAGTTAAGACGGTTTACCTCCCTCTGTATGTAATTTTTTCTTAATTGAAATTCAATGAAGCTTTTTGTTATTAATTAAGGGGGTGTTCTGTTCGTGGGTTGTGTTCATGTTTCATCTAGTTCACAAACGTAACCAGTATTCTCTCTGTCATTCTTATGCCATGGTTCCAAAATCAATAAAATGGCCTTTTCTGAAAACCACTTTTTATAATTTCCCCAACTAAAAAACATGTTTTGGTGATGTAAGCATGTTATAGCAATTATAAGGTGTGTCTCACGCCCATTATGACTACAGCTGTAATTGGACCAGATCCAGCCACATCTGCATCTGATCCGATTATCAAACCTTTGGATCCAAAATACTATATGTTGGACTCAAATCAGATTCAGATTTAACCTGCATCCATCTTAATGTGTTTAAAATGACAAAAAGATCAAAAAAAAAGTTTTAAGAAAACTATTTTTTTAACTTATGCATGTATAATAAATGTGTATAAATATAAATTATTAAATTCATCAATTATCAACTTTATATAATTGTAAATAATGTTTATGTATACATAATTATATTTATACCACATATATACAATAATATTTTTTTTATCTGATTAGAATTTTAATCAGATCGTCCACATCAACACATAAGTACTCATCTATCAGAGTTCAAAAATTGAATCATGGACAAAAAAGCCTCTTTGCATCGTATGGCAAAAACAATTGGTATGTCTCTAGAACAATACCACCGTTTTACTGAACCATGAAGCAAACACCACCTAAGCAGTTGCAAACTACAGTGGGTGTTAGTGATATGCAAACTAGGGGACAGGTTTTAGTAAATACGTGAAACTGTGTGGTATCTTAAGTAAATGACCCTATTATATATTGTTAATAAAATCAACTAAAAATGACTGATATTTGTATTATCATGATTCATGAATAAAATGGCTTGAAAATAACTTGTAATGAACCTTAACTAATAACTCTTTAGTAGACATACAACACTCAAATGAGCTTAAACTGACAAATGCATATTAATTTTATGTATGTATAAGCATATATATTTATATCCTTCAACAGAATCAGGTTATGGTGGATATATATCCAATCCAGTTATAAAATGATTTGAAGTCGGATCATTTTAATTGGATTGGATTCAGATTCAAACAAAACATACATTTTGCAGCCCTATTTCTTACTTCTGTTTTTGTTCCAAGACCAGGCTCAAGCATGAGCCAAGTTGAGATGAGGATATTGGCTCAAAAGGTGAAGGTTTAGGGACAAAGGATGGTTGGACATGTCAAATTAAGCCAGGTTTGGGATTTGAAGCTGGGGAATTTGGACCACCTTAATTGGATTGGATTCAGATTCAGTCAAATAAATATCTTTTGTGACCTCATCTTCTAACTTATTCTGTTCTAGTTCTAAGACCAAACTCAAACATGATCCAGGTTGAGATGAGGATATAGGCCCAAAAAAATGGGGCTAGAAGGGATGACTGGACATGTCAAATTAAACCAGGCTTGGAATTCTGAGCTGGGCCTGCGTTGAGGGGAGTTCTAAGTTTCCAGACGATCTTAAAGGAAGGGACTTAGTTGTTGGAGAGAGAGAGAGATCCTGTGTAAAGTGTAAACATAAGTGATAGGTGGCCAGCTGTTAGCCACGCCAACATACTACACCCATGCCTTGTCTTGGACTGCTGTTGCATGACCCAAGTCAGACCAGGCCAGTTCAGCTTTGTCCAAACGGTGGAGGTTGTAGGAACTAGGAAGGGTTTTCTGGGCATTTAGCAAGAGGGTTTTTTTTTTTTTTTTAATATACTGTCTCCCCCTGAGGGTGGGCCTTGGCACAACGGGTGGGTTGCTCCATTGCAACCTGGGTGACCAAGATTCAAATCTTGGAAACAGCTCTCTGTTTATCTACAGGGGTAAGTCTGCATACATCTTTCCCTCCCTAGACCCCGCACTGGCAGTGGCCTTCTGCATTGGGCTGCCCTTATTTTCTTCCCCCTGGTTGTAGTTGTTAAGTTGGACTGAAGTTTGTACAAACGTTTCCTTGATCTCATGTGGTTTGTCAGGTGACACAAGGTAAGGTTGTCTTTGACAGATATTGTGGCTTTTATCAGGTCAAGGAGGGTATACTGAGTAGAGGATACCAGAAGAAATAATCTCTATCCTCTTTCAGATTTATTCGTCCCTCTTTTCTGTTTTGTTAGAAATGATTTCTAAACTTTGTTTTCCTTCCATGGCCGGGTTTCTTTTCTTTTATTTCTTTTTTATCTTTTTCTTTTTCTCAACTGCTAGAGTGGTTTTACAGGTCGGAATTCCAATTGCTGCTGGACTATTGCTGCCAGTTACTGGGACAATCCTTACTCCATCAATTGCCGGAGCTCTTATGGGCCTAAGTTCGCTAGGAGTGATGACAAATTCCCTGCTTCTGAGACTCAAGTTTGCTTCAAGAGAGAAACCCATCTACAAAATGCCTTTGGATAGCAAAACGAGCCCCAATGCTGATCTTATCATCAGCCAAAGTAACAAACCGGAGAACCCTTATGCTGCTGCAAAATGGAGAAATGTTTGATTATTCCAAAGGGGTTGGGTAGAGTAACAAGCCCTACAATTCATATAAAAATGTAAAGGCTTATTGAATAGCTTGTATAATAGAAAGCGTTTATTCACTAGGAAGGTGAACTTTTTTTTTATTTTTTGGCGGGAGGGGGGATTGAGAGAGAGAGCTCATGTGTTTTCTGCTTGGAGAAGAGAAAAATAGGAGAAAATATGTTGTTTCATTGATAGTATTTATCTGCCAGCCAGCAAGCAAGCATGCACCCAAGTCTTACCCAGCATCTTTTCCCATGGACGAGCTGCCTCAATATTTAATCAGCGGATGCTTACAAGGGAGTGAAACTTGGGTTTTACTGTGCACTCTTTTGGAGATCTCCATTGTCAATCTCTCTCTCTCTCTCCAACTCTCCAAGCCTAGAGAATTTTAAATGATAAAAAAGACCTTGACTCACCTGACATTTTCATCTTTTGAAAAAAAAAAAAAAAAAAAAAACGAATCACCTGACATCTAATTTTAGCATATACATCCGGATCTGCTACTCGCTACTTGTTCCCACATCTACCTATGCGGCTGCCATGTAGTGTGAACATCTCCTTGTGAATGAAAAAGGGAGATATTCTCAATGCGCAGCTGTTATGTCCCGTCCCGTGGTAGGGATGTGAAAAAGTAGTGGGTAGCAGATCCGAGCCCTACATACATATTGGACATGAAATCAATTCTTCATGTTCCCCTTCCCTTGAAGCAATAACAAAAGTAGGGCTGTCAAATGTCAACGTATCGGATCCGGTCTGAGCTGAGGTAGAGTGGAGTGGAGTTTTGCATTTAATTTGCCATTTGACAAGGGTAGGGGTTTTTTTTATTGGGTGGAGAGATAAGGGAAGGTTTCAAATATCGTCCAGGAGGTCAACAGAGGTTTTAATTGATTTCCCTAAACAAAATTAATTAGCTGCAATTTTTTTTACAATTTCTGATTTTAAATGTTAATTTCAAAACTATACAAAACCAAGGTTTAAAGAATTGATACAAGCTAATGTGTATCAGTTTTTTAGTTTGGTAGTAGGCAGCATGAGTTGTATGATATGACACTCCATTTCAAGGTTCAAAGTATTGATACGTATGAAATGCCGGTAGAGGCGTAATGGGTAGTATTGATAACTTTTTTTTTTTAGCTTTTTTTCCAAATTTGGTTCAGAGGGGCTGATTTAAGGTCCCTCTACCCTCTGAGCCGGTCAAGATTCCGAAACACCCCCTGTAGAAGCGTATTGAGAAGCCCCTGATAGGATACGTATCGGCCAATATGGCCCAATACATATTGCTGTTTTGAACTTTGATCCATTCTATTCCACACATATTACATATACATGGTATTGGTCAATACATTCACAATATTGGTTGATACTCTTATTTAATCTTTTTTTTATTTTTTATTAGCATTTTCTAAAATTCCAATACATTCACAATATTGGTTTCCTTTTATTTCTGAGTATGATTTGTTTCTTCTTTCTCGCTCTACCTCTATAAAATTAGAGGTGATCAGCTCTTGTGGTACGATGTCATGTAGTTTGGCAAGTCTTTTTTAAAAGATCTTTTGACAGGCCTGACAGTCAAAAGATGATGTGAGTTTATATATTAAGATCTTAATAGCCTGAAGACTGTTTGGTTATGTTGTGTCTTCCTGCGAAAGCTCCATTTGGAGTTTTTCGAAAATAGTCCAAAACAGATTTCCCACGGCTTTTTGGGGGGACATCTTTTGACAGTTAGATTTTTTCCAACCAAAAAAGAAAAGACCAAAATGTGAATTGCTGGGTTTCTAAACAGCCAACAGCCCAAGTGGAAAGACATGCCAAACAGGGCTGTACCTGTCTTCAAGCTTTCATTCTGTGTTTTTTCAAGCTAGTACCTCTGTGTTGTAGGAGACSCATTTCTATTTCTGTAAGGGTATAAAATAGAGACAAATGATCGTTAAATCTTCAAAGCAATGCATCTAAATCCACTTTACACACTATATTATAACCAATGGAGACAAAATCTACCTAAGGATAATGCAAGGCACATCTCAGTCATATTTCATAGCGATCCAATTTTTAACCTAAATTTTTGCCTTCTCTATGAGTCTTTGGTTCTTTTCTACTGCTTATTTTGCAGCATCAAACAAGTTAGAGGTTCCATTTGCATAATAATATAAATCATTTTATACATATTTTTTAATATAAATTCCGTAAATATTTTGTGGGTTATAAGTCTGGCACTTCTGAAATTGCACGAAAGAAATCTTTTATCTATTAATTGGCGGACTGTTCCATATAAACACAGAGAAGAGACTTCCTGCCTCGTTAAAAATTGATTCAAGGTTTCCTAATTCTCAAAGGAAAGCCCACCAGTTCCTTAATTAATTTAAACCAGGTATCTCATATTTACAATTCTCCATGTTTTAATGTACATAGAATCCCTCGAATCTCCATAAAATTGACCGAGCTTTTCATCTTCATTCGTTTTTATTTTCTTATCTAATTCAAATAGAAAAGAGGCAACGGTTTGGAGATACAACCACTGTTTTCAAAATCGGACCGGACCAGAAAAACTGGGAACCGGTCATCTGACCGTTTCCGTTTTCCTCCAAAACCGGTTTTTTTCTCAAAACCATTGATTTTGGTCAGTAAACTGCTGAACTGAACGGTTAATCGTTCAAACCATTTGAACGGTTTTGACCATTTTCCAATTTTTTTAATTTTTTTTTTTGTCAGAACGGGCTAGCCATTTGGTTCGAACGGGTAACCGTACCCCTGACCGGTTCGATCACCGGTTCATTTTTAAAAACCATGGATACAACACCAATTGGGTTCACGGTTCACCAGAGGAAAATTAAAAATACATGGAAAAATTAAGGGTAAATTACAAAGACCCCATACTATGGAATCAATGATAATTACCCCCCTGAACTTTCATTTACAACAAAGACCCCCTCTACAATGGTGTCAGTGACAATTATTCCCTGAACTTTCATTTGTGACAAAGACCCCCTGAACTTTCACTTTGTGATAAATACCCCTTCTGTTGGAATTATGTCAACTAATTTCAAAAAGATTTCCATTCAGTTGTTTAATTTTTTTTTAATTCTCCAATTAGCCTTTTCTTATTTATTTGAATGGTTTATGATTTGATTATTTTTCTAAATAAAGCATTGAAGCCCTCTTGGCTGCTCTAGTAAATCTTTACAGATTTCTGATCGGATTCAATATTCAAATGAAATGGTAGATGTTATTTTCTTATAGATGAAGAGAGACACTCATGTCATTAAAATGAAATTTTAGCTGGTTTTGTTTAGAAAAAAAAGGAGGTATTTGTGGGTCAATTAGGGTACAAGAGAAAAAGGCAAGGAAGAGAAAATAAGGAAAGCTCATGTGGGTATTTTGGTAATTTAATACATTCTATCATCTGACTTAAAGACCATGGGTATTTGTCGCAAAGTGAAAATTCAAAGGGGTTTTTGTCGCAAATGAAAGTTTAGGGGGGTAATTGCCACTAGCCCCACAATACAGAGGCCTTTGTCGCAAATGAAAATTCAAGGGRATAATTGTCATTGACCCCATAGTATAAGGTGGTCTTTGTCATAAATGAAAATTTAGGAGGGTAATTGTCACTAACCCCATAGTACAAGGGGTCTTTGTAATTTACCCAAAAATTTAAGATAATTAAGGAGAAAGATCAAGCTCTTTGTGAAAAGACCAGGTCTAGTCCCAACAACCGGTCACAATAGCCATTTTTATGAATAATAGAAAACTTTCATTAATAAATAAATAAATAAATACAAAGCAGAAGGAGAGAGGTAAAACCTCTTAACCCTCCCGTAGAGAAAATCAAACTATTTTCAATAATAACCCAAAACATTTGTTCCCTTCCCACCCCTTGCTTAGCAAGAGTATTTGCAAAAGAGTTGGCGCTTCTCTTTACCTATTGTAGCTTAATTTCTAGGTCTTGTGCTAACTGATTATACAATCTTTTTTTCATTAGCATACTTCTATAAACCACTATCTTTTTCTTGTAGCTAACCAATAACCAGTTTTGAATCCCCTTCAACAATAAGCTCGCAATAATTCAGCTCCTTAGCCTTCTTCGTACCTTCCATTGTTGCCAAGATCTCAGCCTTAAAGTGAGTCATCAACACCAACAAGACCAAAAATAGAGCAATGACTTTTCCTTCATCTCTAAAGGCCCCACCTATGTCAGATGGCCCTAGGTTACCTTCACTACTACCATCAAAGTTCAATTTAACAAATCCAGGGGCTAGTGGAGAACAAAGGAGAGTAATTTTGGTCTTGCAAGGGCTAAATCAGCCACATGCTTCAAATTCCTTCTAATCATATCTATGGAGATACCTTCAAACAACTCCAGATATTGCACCCACTGTACTACTATAATAGTAACTGCCTCAATAATAGCCTCCTTACTCCTTTCTTCCAAAACTATCCAACAAAAAGCAACCCTAATACACCTCCATAGAATTCTACCCCTCTTCTTTGGCCATCTAAAGAAAGAATAGGTAAACAAGTTCTGTACATCCATTAGAGGGGTCCAACTACAACCAAACAAGAAGAAAAACCAAACCCAAATATCTGAAACAAAGGGGTAAGATGTTAACAAGTGATAGCAACTTTCACCATTAGCTTTACAAAGGGTATACCAATTGGGAGAAAAGCACTAATTAGGTCTTTTTTTTTTTTGAAGTGAGTCACAAGTGTTGCATATAAGGAAAAAAGAAGAAAAAAAAGAGAAAAAAAAATAAAGGAAAGAAAGGAAAACTCCCAAGGAAAAGACATAGAAGGAAAAGGAAAAAAAAAAAAAGAGAGAGAGAGAGAAGGCAAGGTCAACCAGCCAAAATAAAAATAAAAAATATTGGTAAAAAAGTGGTTCCGGTTATTTCCTAAGTGAATTAGAAGGAATTCCATACGAGCCCTTTCTGGGTCATACATCTCCAAGAAAAATGCCTCTCATCTTATATTTTTAATATTTGAGTGATATTATCAATTCACTTTTGTTTGCATCTTCTTCTCTATTTTCCTTTTGAGATCCTAAGTGGTGCAATCTTACACCTCCATGTGACTTGGTAAGTGTTTGGCATCGATGCTGCAGTTGCAGCACCGTGTGCTGCTGATGTGTGGCTTGGAGCACCGTTTTCTCAGAAAACGGTGCCTTTTTTTATTTGGAATCGTTGCTGCCAGGTAGGACATTTCCTGGAGCAACAGCAACATTTTCTGTTTGGTACCAATGCTCTAGAAAATGTTTTCTGCAGTTCTACCCATTATCCACTGCCACATCACTGCCCTGTTGGCAACAACAAGCTGCAGCTCCAGGAAACGCCAAATTTGGCGTTGCTCCAAGCCATGCCTTCCCGATTTCCAAGGCGTGGCTTAGAGCACCGTTTTCTATGGAAAAATAGTTCCAGACAGAAGGTTGTTTCCTGGAGCATCGTTTTTTTCCTACATGACGCTGATGTGGCACCGTTTTCTGGAGCAACAGCAACGGTTCCAAACAGGCCCTTAGTGGAAGAGCTCATTCTAAACAATGAATGCTCATATAAAATTCTGATTAGAAGGGAAAAGATGGGAGTGTGAGAAATTCCTTTTACATTAACGACCCTATGAAACTATTAAAGTATTCTTGATAATCGACCACAGTTTCTTTAAGAAGTATATTATAGATATAAAATCAAACCCACAGTACTAGATTTTTGAGATTCAAGCCAAGAAATTAGAATTTTCTGTTCATCTTATGTAGCCGTGGAAGATCAGGTATTAAGTAAATCTTGAAGACAACTATTATCATAACCACAAATTGATTTCAGGCATTTGGTGAGAGGTTGACAGAGGCAATGGAGCGAGCGAGCGAGCGAGAGAGAGAGAGAGAGGGGGGAGGGAGGAAGTTAAGAAAGAAAAGGTAGATAAAAGAGCAAGCAAGAGAGTGTACATCCTGTGTTTTTTGTTTTTCTTGGTAAAAGTGCATGCTGTGTTCAAGATGAGTTATTGAATCAAACCGATGAAGGGCGAAACCATTGAAGATACAGACAGCAGAGAAAGGGTTTGCACTGTTAGGGATGAGATAGATAGGCATAATATCAAAACCACTGTTTCAAAACCGGACCGGACCAGACGGTTGGACCAGAAAAACTAGGATCCGATCACCTGACCCTTTCCGTTTTCCTCCAAAACCGCTTTGTCCCCTAAAACCGTTGATTTTGGTCAGMAAACCACTGAACCAGCTGGTTAACCGTTCAAACCGTTTGAATCGTTCAAACGGTTTTGACCATTTTCCCATTTTTTWATTTTTTAAAAATTTTTTATTTTTTTGTCAGAACAGGCCAGCCGTTYGGGTTGAACGGTCGGACCATTTGAACCGGTAACCAGACCCCTGACCAGTTCAGTCACCGGTTCGTTTTTAAAAACCATGATCAAAACATGAGAGAGAGAGTTGCCCGGAATGGTTGTTGTAGAATGAGCGAGGAGGGATTTGGGAGAAGAGTGAAAAATAGAAAAGGAGGCATGAATGAGAAAGAAACATGTGTATCACCGCTTGTAATTGATGACCTGCATTCTCTATTAGCATTTAGTTTTCTGTTAGTTTTGACCCCAACTAAACAAAGTTCAGTGATCTATGGTCTTTACAAAATCCATCTTCCCTTGTTAAACTTCATATCAGGAAAAAAAAACGAAAAGGAATTTGCCTTTGAAGGCTACAAAAATTGAACCTCAAACCATGTAAGTCATGCCCACCTGCATCAGATTTGAGTGGGGAACACTTAGATTCGCAATCCCTCTCCTGCAGTTCTTTCTTAAAAATGCATAGAAGTAATTTATGATCAACTTCTTGATAAACCAAGAGTCCTTCCTTGCCCGGATATCTCCATGGCCAAGAAGATAAACAACCCCAGATTCTTTTGCCTTGCGTATGAAGGAAAGCTCCCTCTCAAGACTCTGTTCCACATCAGAAATTGGTGAATCTGTGGAAAGATCCAAATTTACCTCTGCTGAGGTGCTTGCTTCTGTGGCATCCCTGTCAGTGCACTTGTAATCAGCCAAAAGAGGAACCCCTAGCGAATAAAAACTGCCATTTGGAGCAATGAGAACCTGCGAACCAGACACCTCATCATCTGACTCTATATCTTCATCACCATCACTTTCCAAAGACCGCTCCTGGGCTTCCCGACGGATAAACTTCTCCAAGCTCTCAATAAGCAGCTGTTCAAATGTCTGGTGATTCTCCTTGCGGACATCCTTGTAGCCATACCTGTTGATAACAAAGTATTTTATTCTCAGCTAGTCGGATGCATTCTAATTTCACCACATTCAAGGATTACTGAAGTTCTGGGGCAGTAAGATGTACATTTACAGAATAATCAGATCCTGACACCAAATAATGCCTTGATACCACCATCAACCCCCCCCCCCCAAAAAAAAAAACACTAAAAAAAAGGAAGAAAGAGGAAATGCTCAATCAATTAAATGTAAGCATGCTTGAAGTCCACAACTTTTAATTAGTTAAAGACTACTTTGTTTTTTTTTCTTTTTCCTCTCTCAAAGCAAGGAATTGTAAAAACACCAGCTAGTTCATACCATGCCTTCCCTGGTGGACCACCTGTATAGGGGTCCTGACCAATATTTTGAATACCGGACCACATTTGAATCAATGTGTTGCATGTTAACAAATTTTGTTCATTCACTACCCAGAAAAGAAATCATATGGACTGCAAACCAGTTGTCAAATGGTTCAGGTGGGCCCACAGGGTGTGAGCCAAAGTGAGTGAGAACATTGTAACTGAGACCAATAATATCTCTTAAAGACAAAATGCCAATTGCCTCCTTGTGATATTATTATCAATTCCCAGTTGAATAAATACAACCAACCAAACATCAGCATTACTTGCAAGTGTATTGAGAATAGTACCTAGCAATGCATCGAAAAATATGATAGCTCTTTGGGCATACCCGCCGGAAAAGGAACCTTTCACTCTGAGGGACTACAGGAACTGGAACATACTTTATGCAGACAAATATTATCATGGAGTGGATTGCTGGAAGAGTGGTCAGGAAATGGCCAAAAATTGCTGGTACTCCCTTTACCAGTTCATTGTACAAGAGGCCAATTCCAGGAGCTCTGATTGTCCCAAGGTTGCAACCCAGTTCCCGCATCAAATCCATTGACAACTTCTGCTTGACTTCAGTTTCATATTTTAGCTTGCTACCATAATTCCAGATATACATTATAAAAAATATAACTACCCCAAAAACTAATATGACCCAACTTCCATCTCCCACACTCCATAAAACTGAAGAGAAGAAGGTAAGTTCCAAACCCAAGAAGAAAACCAGGAAAATCAGCACAATGATGATGTTTATCTGCCATATGAGAAGCATAACAATGGTTACTAAAATAGTCGTCATCATCATCACTCCAAGTTCTGCAATGCCTGTAAAACAAATTTAAGGTCAGAAAAGAAGAATAGGTGGCACCAATGTCTAGAAAGGGAAAGAATTAATTAATCAGTTGGCACAGGGCCATGGGCATGGAAAATACTCAAGCTACCCAACTTCAGAAAATATGTTTTACCATTTGAAAATGAACTTTGCATTGACCACAAAGTTGCATGAAATAACCAACACTCGTATCTAATAAGCCATTTGATTCAATCCAACTTCAAGTTTTGGTCACCAATAAGCATAACATCAAGCTTACTGATAATTCCAAATACCATTATCCATGCTCAAACAACATACTGAATCAAGCATACCAATAAAACTAAGTAAATATGCCAACAGCACAGCATCAAAAATCCCAAAATCCAAGAGGATAAAGCAAAAAACAGGTAATAGGGTGCATGGCGCATTGATGTATACTCTGCGCTGCATTAGCAACCTAAATAACTTTTGAAAAGAGCATTTTTTGATGCAAAAGTATTAATTCATCTTAAATAAAAGCCTACAGTCTATAATCCCAGTGGGCTTCCATTATTTAGAATATGGTTCACACTAAGGCTTCAACTGGTGGATGGTAATTTTTGGGCTCTTGGCTTCATACCCATTCTTCACAAACAATAAGACCCACCATCCTAGATGAAGTCATAAGAGATAAGACTGGAACCAAATCCTGCCAGTTTTACACTTGCTTCACACTGGCAGTCCCAAGACCAGATAAAGGAGGATTGTGTCATGTTAGTAGTTGTCATAAAACTTTTGCCAAACCCTTGTGAAAATGAATACTTAATCCAATGAACAAGACCCTAGAAAATGTAGAGTGGAAAAACTGGGTTTGTTTAGCCAGCCCCATGGAGTTGGGGTAATGTTTTGTTGATCTGGGATGACACGATTTATGACTGAAACTAAAGTAAACACTTGCAAAATCAATAAACCTATCCACTGCTTCCACTTATGAAACCTGTCACAGCATATAGCAAGCTCTCACATGTCAATAAATAGATTGTGTTGATACAAGGGGTCATAACAATGGTAACTAGCAAAAGCGTTGAGTTCCAAATATTCTAGCTGAGATTAGAAATCACATAATGTCCCTTTTTGGTTCTAGGCAGCTCCTCTCACCGGTCACTCCACCCCCAATCTTGAACCTCTTTGAGACCAGCTTCTTTTAGCTTCTCTTTGAGAAAGGGGCACATCATGTAGAGATCTACTCAAACTGCAATTCTCCTGAGCAGATGTGAGAAGAATGACAAGATCTTTTGAGATGTACTCCCCTCCCATTGACTAATATTGTTTATTGATTTGGGGACAACCAGGGTTGACCTATGGGACTTATCCAGCAAAACTAAGACATTTAACCAGAGGTATACAGATGGATGCAAGCCGAACCAATCTAGATCAGTATGATCCTTCAAGAATTAAATACTCCTTTTTCCAACACATCAATTTTTCTCCAATCTCTCCACCTTGGGATCCCAAAAACAAGTCAACAAGCACAAGGTGCAGAATATTCTGAAGGCATTTTATCTTCAAATTTCTTTTTTTTTTTATCAATAACAGTGAATTTTATTAAAGATTGAGAAAGTACATAAATAAGGAGCTAAAAAAACTTAACTCCCTAATACATCAATGTACACCCAACCGTAAACAATTACAAAACAGCCCAAAAAATAGAGTTTCTGTTCACCCCTTGCCTAGCTAAGCCATATGCCAATGAGTTTGCACTTCTATTTACCCATGTACAACTAACTTCCATGTCCTTACTCAGCCACTTAAATTTCCTCTTTTCATTGTTGTAGTTCCAGAGCTTGGATTTGTCCTCTTTTAACCAGTTCACTACAATTTCAGAATCACCTTCTATGATCAATTTCTTAACAACTTAATCCTGTGTCCATTATATCTCTTCTCAACCCCAGGTTCCAACCGAATCCAGAAGGTGAGTTAGAAGGTACAAGGAAGGAGGAAACTGGTTCATTTTTAGGGGTAGAGATAGCAAAAATAGTTGGAAATTGATCTTTCTAAGGGGAATCCCCAACCCAAACATGTTCCCATAATTTAATTAGGTTGCCTAAGTGCAAGTCATACCTGATCCAGGGAGAGAACACAGGCAAAGTAGCTTGAATAGCTTTCCAAGGGGATGCTCTTGTAGTCCTTGCTAGAATCCCAGAGTCCCTTCCATTGTCTGCCACCCCATGAATATTTCCCACTATCATTACCCAAAGTTTTTCTTTCTCCAATGAAAATCTCCATAGCCATTTCCCTAATAATGCCAAGTTCCTATTCCTTGTGTTCCCAATTCCCAAACCACCCTCCTTACTCCTACACACCATCTCCCACCTAACCCTATGGTCCTTCTCCTCCCCTGGCTCCCATAGAAAATCTCTCATTAGTTTTTCCAACCTGCTAGCCACCCTTACCGGAATCTTAAAGACTGACAAAAAATAGATAGGAAGGTTAGCTAATGTGGACCTAATTAAGGTGATTCTCCCTCCAAGAGACAGATAGTTTTTCTTCCATTTCGCAAGCCTCTTTTCAAACCTTTCCATAACCGGAACCCAAAATTCATCTCTCTGAGGATTATCTCCCAATGGCAAACCAAGGTAGTTTAAGGGCCAATTAGATACTACTGATATGGCCCAGAAATTTGACACGCAGTTCACAGACTTACAGCAGCATTCACACACTCGAACATCAACAAAAGAAACTAGTATTCATTCAGTAGAAAACATTAACAGTTGGTCGGTACTTCGAGAGACCGCCGGCTCTCCCAAACACTCACAATATTCTTTACTCAAAGAAAAACATACCACCCCCATCCCCCAAAGACCCTTCTTATACTCTACTGATAGCATAACTGACTCCCTCTATAAATGC